AGCAGACTATTGTCAATTTGTAAAGTGCTGTATGTAGATAAACACTCATTTCTTATGATGCATGTTGTGGTGTGCATGGTGATATCATAATATAAAAAGACAGAGCAAAAACAGCCCAGGATACACTGCGAGACAGGCTAAGCACAGGAAGTTATTTACATTTTGAATCTGGATTTTAGATATTTGGGTATTTGTTGCATGTTCCTCCTGCTATCTATGTTTGAACTGTTTTGTTATCAACCTTTAATAAATAAAGGTAAAAGCTAGGTTCCTTTTGTTGCTCTTCTTTAATCTAAGTATGGGTTTCATTTTTGCCATATTTTACTTTGCTAATTTCATGATTTGAATGAATTGCAATAACAGTGAATACAAAGAGAAATACTTTAGAAAATGTAACAGGCTTTTTCCTTTTTGGACTACCAACCAGCTCCCAAATCATGACACGGAGACTTCTTATTAGTTATGAATATTCGGCTTTATCTTATGCTTGTCCCAGCAGCTCTTATAAGTTAATCGGTTTCTCTTCGTCTACATTTTGCCTCAGGGCTTTTTACCTTTCTTTCCTTCCATATACTTTGCTTCCACTGCTTCTTGTGTCTGGCTGGATGGCAGCTGCCTGGCTTCTCACCCTGGACATGTTCCTTCCTTTCTCCCTTGTTCTCGCCTCTTCTCCTCATCCTCTCCTATTTATTTTCTCCGCCCACCAGCCCCGCCTATCCCTCTCCTACCTAGCTATTGGTCATCCAGCTTTTTATTAGACCAATCAGGCTCCTTAAGCAAGGAGGTAAAAACAAATGCAGGACGTCTTTACATAGCAAATGCAACACATCTTTACCTCCTGAACCAAGGCAACAGAAACAAATGACACTCCCTCCCATCGTTAAAGTAATATTCCACAGCACAAACCAACGTAACACATCTTTGCCTACTTAAAGTAATAGTCCACACCAAGAAACCATTTTAGAAACTGGGTGATCTGCTTAGGCAGGTAGTTTGAAGGAGACAGCCCCTACCCAAAAATACATTTTGTGTGTGTTTGTCGAAAACTCAGCTTAGGATGTCCACATGAAGGTGACTAGAGCAGCTACCTTAACCAGCATGGAATTCATGTGGTGATATTGTGTTCCCCAATATACTGTGCACCTTAATAAATTTATCTGGGGTCAGAGAACAGAGCAGCAGCTAGACAGACATAGAGGCCAGAAAATGGTGGCACTCACACACCTTTAATCCTAGCATTCTGGAAGCAGAGATCCATCCAGATCTCTGAGTTCAAAGCCACACTGGAAATAGCCAGGCATGGTGACATATGCCTCTAATCCCAGGAAGTGATTACAGGAAGCAGAAAAGCAGAAAGGTATATAAGGTGTGGAAACCAGGAACTAGAGTCTGTTAAGCTTCTAGACTTTTGAGCAGCAGTTCAGCTGAGATCCATTCTGATGAGGACACAGAGGCTTCCAGTTTGAGGAAACGAAATCAGCTGAGGAATTGGCGAGGTGAGGTTAGCTGTGGCTTGTTCTGCTTCTCTGATCTTTTCAGCATTCACCCCTATACCTGGCTCCAGGTTTGTTTTTATTAATAAGACCTTTTAAGATTTGTGCTACAACTTCAGCTTTTCCTGGTGATGGTATTCAGGTTGGTCCACAGTGAGGACTCTGCAGGCCTGCTGGCATGCACAGCAAGAAATTAAAGATGCAGAGTACCACAGGGCTGCTGCTCAGCTTTCAGACTTTGTATATCCTGAGGGTATTGGCAGGTGTTTTAGGAGTTCATCCTGATTACTGGTCAGTGTTATTTAGATATCTACATTGAAGGAAAGGACTACCTCCCTCATCCAATGTACAGCAGCATAGTCTCTTCCCGATCAATCTTCAAGCTAGTGTTAATAGGCTTAATCATTGCTGTCTAAGATCCCTTTGCTTTCTCCAGCATGGAAGCTCCTAGCATCTGGCAGTGGGTCCAAGCAAGTAAGGTCTGGGCCTTTATATGATACTTTTCTTTCTGAGTAACACAATTAAGAATCAGTGTAATGTCATCAGGTGCAAATTGAGATCACTTTAAATGATGTACCCATGTGGCTTTAGGTGGCTGTAGGTGGAGTCTGGTCATCTTTCATCATGGAACAATGGTTTGACGAGCATGTGGTGCACTTGCATGGGTGAGTGTGTGTGTGTGTGTGTGTGTGTGTGTGTGTGTGTGTGTGTGTGTGTGTTCACAGATACCTATGCATGTGTATATGGTTAACATCAGGTGTCTCCTACAATCAAAGCCTATTGACATGTATATGATCCATTACTGAGTTCACACACACCAAGTTGTAGGAATTATATAAGCAAGGAGCGGTATTCTCTGAGTATACATGTCAGCCACAAGAGACAGCAAAAATATATTACAAAAAAAACCATAGGTGTTGGCTGAAAGCTCCCAGCCCAGGTGTTCTGATTGCTATCACTGTGGCATGCAGATGCAGCAGAAGGGGCCCCTGTCCTTCACACAGAACACACATATATCATTTCCTGTTAGCTCTGTGGCTTGGTCACTCTGAAGAATCCCCCTCCCTCAGCCTGCCCTGCTGCGCTAGAGATCTCACACTCAGGGCAGTTTCTTCCTGAAAATATGACTTTTTCCAGCTTTGGTCTCTTCTTCAGAGACACACTTCAGGAGACAGTGATAGGTCTTCCTTACCACCCTCTGCACTGGAACATTTAAAAGTACAATTCAACTCGGCTTTGTTAACGTTCCTGTTCTGACAACATGTCAGTGCCTGCCCCTTCTCACACTTTTTCAAAGCACCTTAGCCAGTCCACCTGGCTTGCCACTGAGCATCTGCACAGAACCTCTCTGGTCTTCCCTCCTTTTATCTTGGAGAAGCTATATATATGGTCATGCCTCAGCCAAAGGTGTATTTCCATCTGGCTTTGTCTTTTTGTCCCAGTCTGAATGGCTTAGAAGGCATCCTGAATACTCTCTTGCTCTTCCCCAACTCTGGGCCTTTCCTAAGCAGCCAGCTTCCTATTTGTGAAGCCTACTTTGTGCATTTGTGGTATATGCTGCCTTCCCAGAAAAGTGCCCAAAGCCTTCAAAATGTTTACCTACAGCCTCACTTTCCAACAAGCAATGCTGAAGCATAAACATGTCCCTTTCTGTCTTGGCCTCATGGGAGAGTCAGGCATGGTACTGTGATAATGTTCCTGGACATAACAGGTCTCAAGTTCCATGAAATATGTGGATCATGGAACTTCAGGATTCTTTGAGTGACTGTCATTCTAATTTAATAAATACTTCTAATAGAGCAATAGATGAAGAGTTCCTTGTATCCTTGAAAGAGAGGGTCATTTTGATAGTTTAAAATTGATTTCCCAGATTAAGGACATCAGAAATTATAGAAGAGAAAGATGCTCAAATACCTAAATTAATTTTAAAAGATGAACACTTGTTAACTGGCATGTGAGGGTCAACTATGTTTAAGTTCTTGAATTTAATATTGTGTGGCCTGGGGAGGAATGGGATAGAATTCTGTCCTTACTCTGCATGAAAGTTAAAAGTAAAAGTTATACACTTACATTCCACATTATAGGTATAGAAATGTCAAAGATTTGAATCCAAGATCTATATATAAGAAAAAACATGAAGCATTTATCTTTCTAGATTTGAGGTACCTTATTCTTCCTCCCTAATGACCAGTGTTCATGGTGAATGGTGCTATGCAGACTGCTGTAGAAGAAAAGACATAAATACCCTTACCCAGTACTGGAACCTACATGCTAAAATACTGACATACCACGCAAAGTCTGACTACTGATGCATTAGTGGCATAAGTGTATGGAGTAACCAACCACTTTCAGAATGTATGTGAAGATCACTCCACAAGAGGGAATTCATACCTGGTATTACCAGCATGGTCAAAAGCCCATGGCAGGGGAGGACATAGTACTTGAGTAGAACCAATTATTGTCATTGCTAAATGGCTATATTGTCAAAATTTCTTCTAAATATCTGTGTTTATGCTTATAGATCTGGGCTTCTCTCAACCTTGATCAAAGAAGGTTGTTTTTGTTGTTGTTGTTGTTTGTTTGTTTTGTGTTTTTTGTTTTAGTGAGTGACAGTCAATTCAAAGATTCATAATGGTCCTTAGAATAGGTGACTAAAAGTGCTCAGCCCTAAATAAGACATCTTTAACTCCTCCCTGCCTCTTGCCAAGGCCCAGGGGACATACTGGAAGAGGAAGCAGAAATAATGTAAGAGGTGGAGGATGGGAGAGGAGAGCTATGCAATGCTGTCTTCTGGACATGACATGGCCATTGCACTCTGAATCCACTGCAGCTGTGGATACTTGCACAAGACATGCATAAGATCGAACCAGTGAAAATTCCAGCATGGATCATGGAGGAGGTCGTGAGGATTTAGCCCTAACTGAAGAGCTGTTGGCAGTTGATAGCTGCTAGAGGAGAAAGAATCGTTCTTCTTTGGGGATGTGGTTACTAGTAAGCTTGCACACATTCTAGTAGATGGCCCAATCCATGTATATATGGGTAGCATTAACTGAACTTAGTGAGTTATTTTTAAAATGAGGACAAGAATTGCATGAGAAATGTGCTGGAGAATAGGAGGAGGTAGAGGAAACAAATTATATTTCATTGTGTACACATATGAAACTCTCAAAGAATAAATTTTTCAAAAAGATACACACAACATAACTGGCATTAAAACATGATAGCTGGCCAGGTGGTGGTGGTGCACACCTTTAATCCCAGCACTCGGGAGGGAGAGGCAGGCAGATTTTTCTGAGTTTGAGGCCAGCTTGGTCTACAGAGTGAGTTCCAAGACAGCCAGGGCTACACAGAGAAACCCTGTGCTAAAAAAAAAAAAAAAAAGATAGCTGTGGGAGGGCCATGTTGAATTTCCCTTGTCTCCTTAAAACCAGTGGGAATCTATGTTGTGCATGAAGGAGTGGAGTCTTAAAATAAATGAAAAGGAGTCAAGAGACATTTCACATCTAATGAATGCATTTAGCAGATTTAATGTAAAATATATTTCATATAAAATATACTTCATGTGTCAGAGCATGAGTAATAAAAAAAATGAAGCAAAGCAATTTTATTTACCAGAAATTCTCAAAACAACAAAATTGTTTCTGATTCTGTACTTTCACACATAGGACATTAAAGCATTTGTTGAATTTATCCTTTTTTTGCCAGCCAATTAGCATGTGAAGTCATGAGATACAAATTACTTGAGAATCCCCATTCTTTTTGGGGTTTTTTTCCCCTTTATTTCAAAATCTACTATGTCTATTCTAAACAGTCTTTGCTCTAGACTTTTCTAGAACATTCCTGCTGTACTTGCAAGCTTGCAAACAGACAGCTTTGGACTTCCCTGAATCTTCTTTGTATCTGCCCACGCAAGGTCAGCCAGCATCCACACACAAACACACACACACACACACACACAAATAATTCCCACAGACACCCATTGTTTTGAACCACAAGAAGGCCCCAGGGTGACAGCTCCCTTTAGAGAGAAATGTCTTCCAGTGCCCAAGAGATGTGCATTCCAATAGAGAGATGGGGTGTGTGTGTGTGTGTGTGTGTGTGTGTGTGTGTGTGTGTGTGTGTTGTTGTTGTTGTTGCTGTTGTTGTTGTTTTGCTATGTCTCTACTGTGCCCTTCTCTCAATTTGCTACTCAAGCCAAAGAGTCCTCAGTCCTGGTTTCCCACCTTAACTCGGGCTCCCAGTTGCTCCAATGTTAAGTCACAGAGTCAAGCATGAATGAGGGCAGTTACTGCCACCAACAGGAAGAGCCACACTCTGGAAAAACATGAACTGTGAACCAATAGTTGAGGAGCCCCCAGCTGGATCAGGCCCTCTGGATAAGTGAGATAGTTGATTAGTTTGAACTGCTTGGGAGGCCCCCAGGCAGTGGGACTGGGACCTGTCCTTGGTGTATGGGCTGGCTTTTTGGAGCCTGGGGCCTATGCAGGGACACTTTGCTCAGACTTGGTGTAGGGAGGAGGGGACTAGACCTGCCTCGACTGAATCTACCAGGCTGAGCTGAATCCCCAGGGGAGTCCTTGCCCTGGAGGAGATGGGAATGGGGGGTTGGATTGGAGGGAAGGCAGGGGTGGGTGGGAGGAGGGAGGACAGGGGAATCCGTGGCTGATATGTGAAATTAAATTAAATTATAAAATTAAAAAAAAAAGAAGAGCCACATTCACAGAGTGCTCGTTAGTCCCCTTGTGAAGTAGGAATACTTACTTTCAGCTCTGATTTTAGAGATGAGGAAACTCAAGTATGAGAAGTTGGGTAAAAGTCCAGAACTCATAAAGGAAGCAGAAAACCCAAGATTGTCACTAAAATTTGACTGAACAGGCCAGGTCACACTCTCAACCACCATGCTGAACTGCCCGCATTTGAAAGAGCTAATAAAAACAACAAGCAATTGTTGTTTGTCTGTTTCAGTTTAGTAGCTTATATGGTCCTATATATAAAGACCTACATAAAGTCAACAGAAGCCTTAGGCCACTAAAGTTGAACATCCCACTGAGTTCCCTGAATTGAAATCTTTGTCTGACATGGATGATACAAAGGTGTTTAGGGTTCCCCTTTCAAAGGTTTCATGAAAGGTCTAAATAAGAAGTGAGACATCTTGCCTGATGTCTCTCACTGAACTTCTAAGAAATACCTTGCAACACTAAACTCATCCTGAAGCCAAGGCCCTAGGTTCCACCTTGTTTCCCTGTGTCTACATACGGCTCTTCCACCACCTCCGTCCACCTCCCAAGCCCGGTAGAGAGCTATGTACCCTTGAGATGTAAAAAAGACTGGTTCATTGAAAATGCCTTGTTCTGGGCATAAATCAGTTTGAGTGTCTAGCCCCACCCTTGCTGAATATGGGGTTAAGTGTGTAGATAGCTCTAGGGCAGTGGTTCTTAACCTTCCTAAAGCTGCGACCTTTTAATATAGTTCCTCATCTTGTGGCAACCTCGAACCATAAAATTATTTTCATTGCTACTTCATAACTGAAAATTTGCCACTGCTATGAATCATAATGTAAATATTTTTGAAGACAGAGGTTTGCTAAAGGGTTCTGGACCCACAGGTTGAGAACCACTGCTCTAGGGGAAGGAAGAACAACAGAATGTTTTCGTGCGAATCCCAAGGTCTTCTGGGAGTTTAGGTTTTATTTCATCTATGATGACCCAGTGACAAATCTTATCTTCTAACTGCAAATGGGAGAGATGATCATGGAATTCAGTATTTTGCACAACAGCCCCTGTTGTAAACAGGCACACACACACACGGCCTCAAGCGGTGCCTCCGTTCCTTTTGACACCCAGCTTTGCTGAAGATCAAGGTTCCGAAAGAACTGGTAATGCTTCGGACTCTTCTCTCCATGGCTTGATGGCCTTGGCCGGCATCAAGTAAAGAAGATTCTTCCAGAACCTCGAGTTGTAAGAACGGGACTTGTCAGCTTTCCATTTCAGAACTCTGTAAGGCTTCAGGAGCTTCAGCGATGGGGGCAGGAAAGTGCAGCTGCTGGTTGGAGTAAACTCGATTAAGATGATTTTAATCTTCCTCTCCACCAGCGCTTCGTGGAGTCCACTCTCAAGTTCGAGCCTGGTCTCGTTAGTCAGGTAGCTTTTGCTGAGGATGATGATGAGCCTCCGACTTTTCTCTATCAGTGAATGGATCTCATCAACAACAGCTGGAAGAGCAAGATTGGCGTCAGTTCAGCCAACTACAGGTTGGGCATGGAGGAAAAACTATCACACACTCTTATTTAACAATGTTTATCTTTTGGCTGCACTAACGGTTTTCTTTAAAATAAGCCATTTTTTGTCTGTTATAGACACCCAGCAAAATAACCATCTAAATAGCAATAATAGTGAGCACCCGCTTAGCACTTACTGACACTATAACGTCTTTAAAGTTTTGTGTATGTTGATTCATTTCACCATTACAACCACCTCATAGAAAGGTATTGTTGTGGCCCCCATTTTGCCAAAGCACAGAACAATGAAGAATTTGCCAGCATCACACAGCTGGTGAGTGACAGGCAGACTTAACCCAGATGAAACAAAACAATAACCTAAACTAGTCAAAAACACCCATTATTTTAGACCAGAGGCAGGTCTTCTCCCTAAAGGGGTGGGAAGTAAACACTCAGGCACATTCTTCTTTCCTACACCAACAGCTCACAGAGATAACGCACAAATGGCTTTATGTGACTGTGACTAGGTAAATATGGCTAACCATACATGCCAAAGCTTGCTCTAGACCCCAGGGAGTTCAACCAAGCCTCATGACAGTTCACCATAAAAACAAAACTGTGGGAGCCCGTTTTCGGGTTCCTCATGGCTTTACCCAGCAGGTCCACATAGAGGATTATTGGACCACAGGTCTGAGTGCAGGTGTCTGAGATGGTCTGCACTTGGCTGTGCTGGGGGGGAGGTCATTTGCTCCACCCCTTGGTGTCTCTATAAAAACCCTGGGGCAGAGACAGTCGGGGCCCGTTGGAATAGGTTCCAGGCCCTCTCGAGACTACTCTTTATTTTCTGTTTATCTCTGTAATATTCTCCGAAATAAATCCTTCTATCTAATATTTCCTGCTGCTCGCACTCAAGAAAACTCTGGGGAGCTATGGGGTTGGTAGGTAAACGCTCCACACAAAACAAACAAACAAAAACTTGCATTCTTCTTTCCTTAGGAACTTAGAAGAAATACAATAAAATGGTAGTAAAACTATGGGCCCATATTTTTGAAATAATGATGTACCTTCTAGATACCAAACATACCAGTGTGGCCTGTGTCTCACCTAGGGAGAAGTCGTTTACCACTACAGTAATCTAACCTGTGCCTACACTTCTCACTTAAAGACATTTTCCCTTTCCAAGTTGTGGTGTGAGGAAAAAGGAAAGCCATTTCTTATTTACTGCCATATTTTCTTTCTGGTCTAACTGAATATAGGCATGACACACAATAAATATGGGATGGATAGTGACATAATGAAATTGTGTTCTTCCCTCTTCCTCCTCCTCCTCCTCGTTCCCCTGCTTCTCCTTCTTCCTCCTCCTTTCCTCTACTTCCTCTCTTCTTCCTCCTCCTCCTCCTCAGTTAATGTTTTAACATGTATATGTGCCACACGTGTACGTGCATATGGAGGTCAGAGTTCGACACTGGGTGCCTTCCTCTGTGGCCTTCCACTTTGTTTATTGAGGCAGGGTCTCAGAAAAGGAGATGCCTGTACCTTTCCTCGGGTGTCAGACCTGCGACGCAAAATGAAAAGGGTCCAAAAGGAACAGCTGGAGTTATTTTCTCAATATTTCTTACTGTAATAGTGAAAAGTTGGTTAACCAGACTGACACAATTCACTAATAACTAGTCATTGACTGACTGGCCTCTGCTGCCTTAAAGGACTTTGGCCATTTGCACATTTTTAAGGCAAAACGATCAATCATCTCATTAAAAACTTCTCTCCATTAGCTGTCTGTCCAGGATTCCCTTTCTTACCTCCTCCAGGCACCACATCTCTTTCAAATATGCATAACTTATACCCAAATTGTTTCTCCAGGACCCTGGGTAACGTCTCCACAGCAAAAGTGTATTCTTCTCCATTTTCAGGATGACACTCTTTCAGGTAAGACACAAAAGCATCGTATGTTTTGCCATCTAGGAGATAAGGTGGACTCTTAATTTATGATTAAGAAAAAAATTTTAAGTAAAAATTTGTGTCAAAGTCATATATAAAGAGAGTAAAATTATTGGTTTTCAAATCTCAGATGCACACCAAGCAAACAATTTTCTCAACATCTATTCTAAGCATCTGCTTTGAGATTCTCACTATGGAGAGAGGTGGGGGATAGTGATCAGGACATTGAGGCATGTAAACACAATAAGATATTACAGAGCCCAGAAGACCCTCATTCCAGGACTGGGAAGTAAGTCACACTTTGGATTGTACATTTCATTCAACTCTATCACACCACAACCTTGGGTTTTACTCTTTAAAAACCTTTGAAAAGTAAAGTCAAAACAAAGTAAAGTAATGCAAGAGACACAAATAAAACAGAGACCATACCCCACAGAGGGGAAGAAATCGTAAGTATACTTGGAACAAGATGCTAGCAACAATGGAAAAAGAGACTATGGATTTAAAAGAGAGCATTGAGAAGTATATGGGAGAGTCTGAAGTTGTAATTATATCATAGTCTAACACACACACACACACACACACACACACACACACACCCTAGGGTATCAAATATCAAAAGGAAAACCTATGATCCATTGAAAGCTTGGCAGTGCTCCTCAAAAATTCACACACACACACACACACACACACACACACACACACACACACACACACGCGTGCCCCTAGGGTATCAAATGTCAAAAGGAAAACCTATGATCCATTGAAAGCTTGGCAGTGATCCTCAAGTGTGCTCCCATCAAATAATTCTTGATACAGGAGAAATATTTAGATGGCTGAGAGAACAATGAAGGAGAAAACATGTTGCCTAGCTAACAAAGACAATTCCTTCTCCCCTACCGGGTAACCGAAATACGTGTGCGACATCCTTTTAGCTTCATGCAATCTGTTGAGGAGACAGAGGAAACAAGTACAACTTGAGAAGAATTGAAAGCGACACATTAACAGATGAAAAATCCTATGATGCAGACAAAGATGAATGAAATAGCCCGGCTAGTGGAAGAGGAGGGACCTCAATGGTCATGCTTTCTGAACAAGGGAAGTTTTGAGTGATGTCTTCAATAATGCAGTTGTTATAGATGGGGGAGCAGGGTGGTGGTATTGTTTGTTTTCTCTCTATCACATGAAAACTTAGGAGTTGGCCAAGGAGTTGGATCTGTACTGACTGAATTGAAGGGTAAACATATTTGGGTTTTTTATTAAAATAAGATGGGATGGAACAGCTCTGGGTCCATGCATTTATATGCCATGCCCAGTGGCCCAGCCCTATTATTTCATGTTCAAGCTTGAAAAACAATGCTTTCCCTTTCTGGCAAAAGCTTGCTCAAGTCTTTTCACAGTACCCTGCTTCACCGATTTAAGTCAGGATCTAGAGCTGATATAAAGCAACTGTTTGTGCAGAATTGCATGAATTACATGGATGAGAAAACTTTGATAAAGATTACAGAATCATATGCTCATCAAAGGTATCTTACTGTGTTTATATGCCTCAGTGGCCTGATCACTATCCCCCACCCTTCTCCATGGTGAGAGTCTCAAAGCAGATGCTTAAAACAGATGTTTAGAAAATTGCCCCTTTCCCAGAAGGTATCAATTGCAAGCAGCACCTTGGTTAGGGGTGGGACTTTGTGTCCACTTCCCCTTCTCAGTGTTGGGACTTTGCCTGTTTTGAACCCATGCAGGTCTTCTGTGTGCTGTTGCAGTCTCTGTGAGCTCATATATGGAACAGTCCTATTAGGTCTGGAAGACACTAATAATGGAATAGTATTTTTGATCTCTAATTAATGAAACTATCATTATATAATTGACTATTTAGGATAATAATGACTCAGCTGGACAAACTATGTCCATCAACTGGCTGTGTTTTATACTCTTCGGTTGATGGGTTCTTTTCATCTCTGTTCCTTTAGAGACCAACACCAAGCATCTACAACCATCTACAGCTCCAGTTCCAAGGGATCTGATGCCCTCTTCTGACTTCTGCAGGCTCTTGCACACATGTGGTGCACATTCATACACTCAGGCACACATATAAAACAAAACCAATGAGCTTAAGCAATTAAAAAAATAATGTGTAAGTTGGGTCAAAAATATTACAGAAAATCAGAAGGAAAAGGGGTATTCAATGTCCAATCAAATACAAATATTAGTCTTTCTGAGCAAAAACCATTCAGAAAATATCGTATACAGACTTTCCACTTCTCTGCCTCAAGTCTTTTCAAAGCAAGATGATACACCCAGACGGACAGCCAAATTCCCTGTGCCTGCTAGCTATTAATATTAAAAGCTCTAAGCATAAAAACGATGATGTAATTTTATTATGATCTAAAAAACTAAATAAATAAGTTTTAAAAATCCCAGAAGAGCTGATGTGAGAATCACTTTATATCATGAGGTTAACGGGGGAGTCCTTTGTATTTACAATCCCAAAATTAGGTACCAAAAAAATAAAGATATATTTGGCTCTCCCACATAAGCACACCACACCAAACAAAGACACATGACAACATGGGGATACTTACCTTTCACATTATAGATACTAGGGTAACCCCACCTATGACGTAAATAATGCCAGCAAATGAGAAGGAAAAAAAGAAAGCCCAGTGACAAAATGGGCCAAGAGTGGATATGTTGAAAAAGGAGACACAAATAAATTTTAAATGAATGGAAAGGTTGCTTGTGTTTTGCAACATCACAAAATGAAACACAAATTAAAACCACTCAAATCCTCATCTATCAAACAGGCAGGAATCCAAAAGTGTGAGGGTGAGGCTATGAGGAAAAGTCGATGTCGCCCTTCGTAGGTGGCATGGAATACAGCAGTGTGGAAGGCAAAAACAGCAAGACCTATCGAAGCAGCAGCTGCACCGCCCCGCTGTGCATTACCAAAATTCCATTGAGAAAAACTTCCCTCTGGCAATACAGCATGAGTAGGAATCCATGAATGGATGACCTCATTCATCCCAGCATCCCCATAATAGCAAAATAAGCAAGATCCCCAACACCCATTGGAAGGAGAGTAAATAAAGAGTAACGCTTACACAGAAATGAGTTACTGAGGACCACTGAGTGTGAGAGCACACACCGGGAACCCCTGCACTTGGGAGATGTAGGAAGGATGATACACAATTATAGAGAGGCCAGCTGGGACAACATGAGACTCTGCCTCAAAGACAGACAGGCAGGCAGGCAGGCAGGACTTGAGCAACCCTAAAAGATGAGGTATTTCTTCAATGACATGGAGAGATACACAAGAAATCATAAAGCAAAACTGAGAACAGTGACATAGGGGAACTAAACCAAGATCTGTTTTTTGAAGGCAACATGAAGGAAGAATCCATGTCAAGAGTCTATTGGATGTAGTAGTAGGTGGAGACATTATGGGAATCAGAGACATGGACAGGACAAGAAAAGGTCTCCTGCTATATATTTACAAATTTTGAATTTTATCACTATAAAGGTTGTTATTTTTCCCCTATAAACACTCACAACACATGCATACATAAACAAAAACAATGATTTAGGCTAACCTTTTAAGGACATAATTTATCTTGAAATTTGGAGATTTCTCATCACTTTTAAAAATACTGATAAACATAGCCCAATAGACACAGTAGCAGCTAACAGCTGGTGGGTCTAGCAGACTAAAATTGAGATTATTTGGCTTCCAGAGCTCTGCCAGGTACAGTATACAGCCTCCTTTTCCCAGTTAAAACAATGAACAAGGATGACAGAAAATTCAATGTAAACCAACTTTATTGAGTGTGTGGGGGATATAAAGTATGCAGCAGTGTGTGTATAAACACAACCAGATCGATAGCACAGGGTGTCTAGGAGAAGACAGTGCACAAACACGAAACACCAAAAGAAAAACATCTGGAACATCACAAACAAGCACAAGATTGCACAGCACCCATGTTACCTACAGAGTAACCCCCGCCCCCAGACTGGGAACCTATCCCACAGATTGGTAACAGTGTGTCGTCAAAATTAGACGAAGATTCATGTTTCCTTTATTGGATTTAGGCACAAACATGTTACACAGGATGGATGTCCTGGTTTCACAGTATGTTACCTGTTAATGTCTCATCTCTTTCCACCAAGCGTCTATAGAATAGAACCAAGTCGACTTTATAAATGACACACAAAGTCACCCCACACACGACTGCCACAGAGACGAAAACTGCCATGATTATTCCTCTCCTAAAGACATGGCCTGGGATATCAACCATTTCTGCAGGGAAAAAAGAGAGGAGGGAGAGAGAAATAGGAAATTATGAATCAAAGAAATGTGGTTAGCATTTCCCACTATCACTTTGTGGTTGTCAGTTTCGCCCTGCACTCTGATTTGAATATCTGTCTCCCCAAGTGCTTCCATGTTCCCCCTAGTCCCCCACACTCCTTCTGGTAGTCTTCAGTGGGGGTCTTTCTACTCCAACTTATAAATGTATGCAAGGATACCCAGAGACATGAAGTAAAAGCATGGCCACTCAGTCCATCTGTATCTGTGGAATTTCGATTTCTGAAGCAATAAGATGCTAGGGTAGGACACAAAGGACTACAACATGAATCACAGTTCGTGGAATGAGCAAACAGTACATGATCTTCAGCTGGGATGTACTGGACAGAGAAGTCTGGGTTTCCACTGGTTCCATCAGATCCTTGAGGCTTCTAATTCCTAATATCTTCATGTGCAAAGTGAAAATAATAAATGAACCTCCTGCTTCATTTACAGTTGCTGATGAACAAGACACTCTATAGAGTGCTTACCAGTGCCTTGTACACAGCACTCAGGGTTTTAGAAAAATTCTAGGCAATATGCTCTTCAAGACAAGTATATCCCCTGGATTGATTCAGTTTGTATTCACCATAGATAAACATGAAAGACCCCAGAAGAGTATAAAGAATAAAATAATTCTTAGCAGCCCTCCAAGAAGTTGGTAACGGCCTTACAGTATCAAAACCTTCTGGGGAGGCTGGAGAGCTGACTCAGTGGTTAAGGGGACTTGGCACTCTTGCAGAAAACCTGGATTTGGTTCCCAACGTCTCCATGGAGGCTCACAACCATCTGTAACTCTAGTTCCAGGGAATCTGACTCCCTTGTCTGGCTTCTGTGGACATCAGGCTCAGGTATGGTGAACATGTTTACCACTCATACACATAAACAAAAATAAATCAATCAATTTTGACCCTGAAATTTTTATTTAACTGAGATTATATAGTAATCACACTTTATTTCCTCATTAGATCAAAATCATTTTACTGATTCACAATATACATCTTTAAAATGATTCCAATTATTTATGTTTACACAATGCTACAGTGACTATCTATATATACATTACCTTATTACCTCTTTTTCTTTCTTTTTTCCTTTTTCTCTTTCTTTTCTTTTTTTGCTTCTTTTCAAGAAGGATACTAACGATGTGGGGATTTCCACACCAGACAGCATAGGCATGACTGAAGCTTTTGCCCTCTTATGTAGTATACTTTTTAAGAGATCATTTTTCCAGTAAAACCAGCCATTCTATTAAGTATGCAATTATGCATATTTAATTAACTAACTCTTAGAAGCCATGCACTGGGGGTCCTCCATCTTTGAAAGATCTATGGATTCCTGATGCACCAGACATAGGGAGATCTCATTCTCCAGGTGACATTTGTGAATTAAGAGGGACAATGAGGGGAGGGCAGGAGCTTCAGAGGTGGGCCAGACTGGTCACAAGGATGTCTGGTGTTGAACAGTGCCCAGGAAATACAAACATAGCATCAGATAACCAAAGCAGCAGGTTGGACTGCCTCTGCTTCATAAACACACAGACCAAATAATTGATGCTCAGGTGACTAGAGGGACAATGGAGGCAATCCCCATGAAAAGGAAGCACGTGGGTCCAGACCTACAAGCTGAGAGATTCATCACCTTCTCTTGCTTTGTGACCTTGGATGGGTTTCTTCACCCATGAAAGCTTCTTGTGGAGACTGGGTGACATCCAAGAGAGAGCTAGCAGAAGCTGTCAAGAAGAGCAATGTATCCCTTACCTTTCCTCACCAACCTGAAGCTTTTGGTGTCTGTGGCTTCTTCGTTGGCCACTGTGCAATTATATAAAACACTGAGATTTTTTTCAGTAATATTCCCAATTCTCAATATTTTAAAAGCATGTAGTTTGCCTTCAAAAATCCTGTAATGTAAGAAAATAATTGATCAACAGGCTTAGTTTGTGACTGCAAATCTACTGAGGAGATTTATATGTCTAAAATATTTAAAGGAAGCATCAGCTATGTCTTCTGCTTCTGGTATGGATGAAAATTAGCTTTTCCAGTCCCCCTAGGAGCAACAGAACTCACAGGAAGGCACTCCTCCCTGGCCCTTCTGTTTTTCCCTCCTAACTACTTGGAATTCATCCCACACTGTTACCTCTTCTAACTATGGCCAGCCAGTTTTGTATTCGGAATCTTTCATGGCTATAAGTGAATTCTTGGACAGCCAGACTCTATGAAAAAAAGAGGTTTATGACATAGGCTTTGGCAGGGCCCCTGAGGTAGCTACACTATATCATGGCAGCCGCAACTATGTATTTGTGGATGGTCTCTCTCTCTCTCTCCCATGCTATAAAGCCATCAGAATTCAATCACAGGAACTCCACTGTTGTGGTGGTTTAAATAAGAATGGTCCCAATGGGCTCATACATAGATTTGAATAGCTGGTCACCAGGTAGTGGCACTATTTGAAAGGATTAGGAGGTGTGGCCTTTTGGGAGGAAGTGTGTCATTGCGGATGGGCTTTTAGGTTTCAAAGAGCTCATTCCAAACCCAGAGTTTCTGTCTTCCTGCTTGCTGCCTGTGGATCCAGATGTAGAACTTTCAACTACTTCTCCAACACCATGTCTCCCTGTATGCCCCTGTACTCCCTGCCATGAAGATAATGGACTAAGCCTTTGAAACTGTAAGCAAGCCTCAATTAAATGCTGCCTTTTTATATGAGTTTTCATGATCATAGTGTCTTTTCACATCAATAAAACATTAAGACAACTATATAACCCAGTCAAACTACATTTTGAAGGACTCACCCTCTTAATGACACAGTTGGTTTAATTCTCCATTCTCAATACATTTGAAAGACATTGGGGGGTCACACTCCTGAAGGAGTTCAAGTTATAACAAATCACATCCAAACCATATCAATTGTGCATTGCTCGGTGGTTAAGAGAAGGGACTGCTCTTACAGAAGACCTGAGTTTGATCATGTGTGCCATTTGTACTTTTGTGACACATTAATAAGAATAAAGCGCTTGACATCATTTTCAAAGTTCAAGAAACGATGGCCCCATTTGATTGCTCTTTTAGAAGAAGCTTGGTGACTTAGGTCATGACTAAGCAGTACCTTGATAAAGTGATGCTAAAAATTTTCACTAACATTCTCATGAGTCTTCTTTTTCAAGCTTAGATCCTAACAGTAAATGTCTGCATGACCTGTCACCTTGTAACATGGTAATGATAATGATAAGCTAACTGAAATATCCCAGCAGCCACACAGGAGCCCAGCCTCTCTTCTGTTGTATGCACATGAGAGTTTTTACAGCATGCACCACCACATCTCTTACATGTCACATACGCATACCAAGTTGTCTTGTTCACATCTTCATGCACATTAGGATCGGAATTGTTGTTCAGGATGTTCCAATAAAACATATCATTTTTATTCAGTAAAGCGGTGCAGTTAAGTTCCACATCTTTTCCTAGGTAGAAGTGGACAATCTCAGCTTCGAATTTAGAAATGCACTAAAAGTTTCAAATACAGTCAATGTATGATAATTGAATGTAAAAATACCACCACATCCAGAAAAAATGGAAGAGATGCTTCATTTTAGGTTTTTAAAAATTACAATTAAGGAGAAGAATTATGTAGCAATGACTAGTCTTCATCAAGCAATAAACTAACTTCAATTTAAATATTCTCTATTAGATCAATGATTAAAATTTATGGGGTCAGTAGATTTTTTTTCAATCTTCAATTTAGTAGACAGTGTCAAACTAATGTCTCTCTTGAACTACTAAGAAAACAAAATGGGTATAGCATCCAAACCAACTACTTAATAAAGGAAAGGGATTGCAGCCCAGGGAAAAGAATGAGAAATGTCAAAATTAAACGTGTGGTTAGGAAGGATCCCTTCCATGTCAGTAAACATGAGCAGTCATCGTATTTTTACGGAGTATCTTGGAATTGAAATGAGCAACAGTCTCATAAAGCATAGTCCAGTCCTGGAGGGTCTGGGGGCAGCTGCATAGCTCACAGGAATATCAGGAAGAGCTTGGTTAGCATGAGGCTGCAGAGACTTGGTGACATTTCCCATGGGCCCATGGACCACAGGAGAGCAAGCATTGATCTACTAGGATGTCCTAAACTTCCTCCATTCACTGCTCCCTTGCAGCCAACACATTTTTGTGGTGACTTGAGTGTACAAGTCTAGTATATAAATTAAGCATTGACTGAAAATAAGACATGAGGAAATTTATTTTAAAGTGATTCTTTGTTATGCACATAATTTTACCATTTATTAAAGACAAAAGCATGCTAATGAGATGGTATGCTTGTTTTGTTTTTATGTAAGGAATTAAATATTGGCTGAATGATTGGTAATTTGTGATGTGAAAAATCTTCAACGTTACTTTGAAATGTTCAAATTTTGATTTTATCACCATCAAAGCTGAGACCATTTTATATAAATATGTAATACAAAATGACAGAAGTATATTTAGGGTCATTCCAGCAATTCTATCCTGATCCCAAACTAAAATTTAAAATTCCTCCAACAATTTTTTAAATAAAATTCAAGTCTGCAACTCAAACAGCCAATTTTAAAACAAAACACTCTGACACAATATAGTCCAAAGGTTTAGCAGTTTGATACAAGCTGAGAAATGGCAAGAGGGAAACACTAAAGGCTTTTGTCTTCTGTAATTAAGACCAGAAACCTTTATATGCACAGTAAAAAGATTGCACCTCCTAACACATGCAAGGCTTGAACCTGGGACGAGGCATTTCAGTCCTCTTCCATGCGGTACTTGGGAAGAAGGCATGCTCAGAGCACAGTGTGCACGTTGTGTGTTCAGAGCTGAGGCTGCAGTGGAGCTGTACAAGACAACTCTGGTGATCGCTCCTGGAAACATCTCGGCTCCTTCATGCCTTTGATTTCAAATTTTCTGCCACTGTGTGTTCAGAAACCTATTACTTTTGTCAAGATTTTCAGGGCCCCTACATTCCTTTATACACTCTCATATGTGGTCTCAACTCATGTGTTCTAGCAGCAAAGCAAGTCTGCATCCAACATACCTGCAGTATTCTCTCCAAGCCCAGTTATTTAAATGCAAGGTGCATTGGATATAGCACATCCAGCCACCCCAGCTAAGTTCTCAGCAGACTGAGATAATTATGGGTACTTGACCTGTGTGTCAGTTATTCCACCCATACCATGGAGACACTATCCCTCTACCTCAAACCACTTAGCTCAATATCTGGTTTAGCATACGCAAATTTATTTCATTCCTTTTTGCTTTTATTTTTGAAAGAAATTACCTAATTGTGCACACTGATTCTTAAGCTCTGTCTAGACCAGTGGTTCTCAATCTATGGGTCATGACTCCTTCGTACCATCCTGTACATCAGATAACAGTAGAAAAATTATAGTTATGAAGCAACAATGAAAGCAATTTTATGGTTCAGGGGTAACCACAACATGAGGAACTATATTAAAGGGTCATGGCATTAGGAAGGTTGAGAACCAGTTGCCTAGACAAATCCTAACAGTACAGCCAATTCCATCCATGGCCAAATATTCAAACTATGGAACAAGTTTGAATCATACCTCCACAAAATTTTCCTATCTTGAAAGGTCAATAAAGAAAATTAGAAAAGACATGGCAGAGACCCTAGTCTACAAACCACAGACAGTCCCATTGACTTTTGAACAGAAGTGTAATTTAACTAGTCTAAAAGTAGAAATAGTCAAACAATGGCATGCTTTTCCTCATTTTGTAATATTCTCCAATAGGTATATAATGGGCTGTATCAATCAACCTAGGGAGCAGATTCGGTCTTTGTAAATTCAATAACGCCTGCATTCACAAATTCAGAAAACACACATTGTAAAACATACCTAGTTCTACTTCAACAGTCTCAAACTTTCGTCCCAAAATAGCTGGAGTTATTTTACTGTTCCCTAAAATCAAAGCAAAACAAACAAATGAACAAAGCATTAGAATTAGCTTGAGCTTATCTAGGGCACACATACATTGTAACATGGTCATTTCATGTAATAAAGATTCCAACATAGCACCTCTCACTTACCCATGATTATATTTTCTTCAGTTTAAGTTACTGTAAGCCAACTGTGGCCCCAAAATGTTAAATAGAAAAAAAAAACTTAAAATAATCAACTTGTAATTTTTAAATTGTACACCATTTTAAGTTTTTCCATCCTACTCCATCCAAACTGGGCCATGAATTACCCCCTTGTTCAGCACATTCATTCATTGTATACTATCAGCCCAATTATCATGGTATCGTGATATTTAGGTTCAAATATCAGTTACTCTATTTCATCATGGCCACAAAGCAATAAAGTAGTGATACTGACAATTTTGCTTCAACATGTTAAGTTTTATTATTAATTATTTTTGTTATTCTCTTGTTGTGTCTAATTTATAAACTAAATTTTACTACAGGCTTGTGTGTATACAGGAACAGAGCATATATCAGGTTTGGTTCCACTCATGGTGGCAGATACCTGCTAAATCTGGAGTTGTATCTGTGGGCAACTGCAGTCATTGCTATATATTTACTTGTGCCATGCTTTTATTAACGTTTTATTAACCCAGCTTCATTTTCCGTACTGAATGTATGAGATGGTTCCTATTAGAGCAGAAAGAAGGTGCCATCCCTGGAGAGTGTGCATGTTAATGATGAAGATTCTTATCATTTCTTCAAGGAGCAAAAGTGGGTGGGAGAACTTAATGCTCTAGAATAGGACCTGGGTTTGAATCTCTAAAACCCATGTAGCAAGCTGAGCGTGAGTGTAGATACCTGTTACCCCAGCCCTTGGGGAAGAGACAGGCAGATCTTGGAAGCTCCCCAGCCAGTTAGTCTAGCCATATTAGTAAACTCCTTGTTTAGCTAAAGATCCTATCTCAAAGCAATGGGCAGGGTGATAGAGAAAGACATCCAGTGTCCTGAACCACACAGCACATCATAGATATACACTCATAGGTGGCCCTTTGATCTGAGATTTTCCAGAATGGCCAGCCAAATAAACTTCTATGGTTTCTAATTTACTCAGTCCATGGCACTCTGTTCTAGCAGAAGAATATGGCCAAAAGAATTTTGTAGCTGTGATTGCTTAAGGACCTGGAGAGGGGGAAATTATCTTGCACTATCTAAGTGGGCTGTTAATGTGTTCTCAAAAGAAAGTCAGAAAGGTCAGACTCAGGGAAATGCATGTAATGATGGAATGGGTGCGGGGGTGGGGGGAGAAGAAGGAGAAGAAGAAATAATAATGAGAAGAAGGAAAAAATGAAAGACTGGCAGATAGTGTGTGTTTGGTTTTGAAAATGAAGTACAATATGGGCAGCCTCTGGATATGGGCAAATGGCAGAGGAATATATTCTCTCCCAATACTCTCCAAAACTCTATGATGCTGCTGAAGCCTTGACTTCAGCCTAGTGAACTTATTCAGACACATGACCTCCAGAACTCTAAGTCCCGGTGTGTTCAGGACACTAAGTCTTGGGATGGTTTGCTGTAATCACAGCACATGGGCAGCAATGCAAGCTTAAGGTGAAGTACTGAATAAAGACGTCACTGGAGTAGACGTGTTGGCGCATCTGTGAGCTTGTGGATCTGGTTAAATGTGTCATTGACACTGGTTTTTTCTGGTTTAGGGGGATGATGGTGGAGAAGGTCATAATTATGGTCATGGTCATACCACAGATCTTCGAACAACTGGAGGAACTTTCATACAGGAAGGGAACAGATAATCTGTGAAGTTGTTGACAGTAAATGAAAAGCAGTCAGTACAAGCTAAAGAAGGCAAAATGGACTCTAGGGAAAAAAAACATAAATATTGTTCCACGCTCAGATATTGAAATCTGTACTTAGCCGTGTTGTGATTTGATAATTTCCCTGTAAGTTCCCAAGAAGGGACTGATGTTGAGTTATTGGCTGTTCCATTGAAGGATATCTCCATGGGGTGTGGTTCAATTAAGCGACCTCTCAGGTCACTGCTACAATAGAAATCTAGCTCTTGGTTTGGTCTCTGGGCTCAGGGCAAATCAGACTACGTGCAATACTCCCCCTTCAGCTGCCACCCTGTGACCTTGCTTTGCCACGGGGACAGGTGTTCTGTCTGTGTGCTCTGCCCCTTCATGATGCTGTCCCTTCCAGACCCAGAGCTGACCAAGTCCTCACCGTTTGTCTTTCTTTCACCTCCACATCGCATCCTTCACCCTCTCCGACAACCTCTGTCATACAGTTACAGCTTTTGGGCTTACTGTCTCTCCAGATCCTTAGAAAACTTCTCGAGTACACTGTATTCCTCACTGTAGGACATTTCTTGTGTCCTTTGCCCCTGAATCCTAAGTACAGCTTATTGAATAGAGCCACCAATAAATATTTGTAATCACAATAAATATTCGTTAAGCGAAAATGTGAGCTTCACAAGACTCTACAGTTTACTCCAGTTGTAAACAAGAACAAGCTGCCTTATGCAAGGTTCACCCATGTAAACTTTCATCTGCTCCTAAAGGGAATATGTGTTTAGCCAGTTTGGTGGGAGCCCAACAAAGATTTTAAACCTAAGATTTGAAGTAGCGTTGTGTTCTGTTGGGGGACATTCAATCACACCGTGAACCCTGAGTTTGCATTTGCATTGATTAAATAAAATTAACCTTGGGTCAAGAGGCTTCATTAGCCACTAGTTGACAGAAAGTAATCATAGAGCCTCAGAGGGCATCTGGGAGAGACAGAGAGACACAGGAAATAGTAGGATGGGATTTGGAGTGGTGTAGGTTTTTCTGGTGTGGTAAAATGGAAGGAAGGGTCTTCTGTGGATACCAGCAAGCAGAGAGGGTTAGCTAGCTAGTTGCAACTCAGCCTCTCTGAGCTCACAGGTTTTCACCCCAGCCTTCAAATCTCAAGTCTTATTCATAAGTAGAATGAAAGAGATTTAGTTAAAGCTACCTTTAGCAGCAACGATAGGGTCAGTGCCTGCAGGAGCAGAATTCTTGCCAGGTTGCCACCTGAGCAGCCAGGCCACTGCTAGAGAAGCAGGCTGGTAACTGCGGAGTTGGAATTGCTGGCTGAGATAGCAGTAGATTGAGTCACAGCCACTGTGCCAAAGTTAAAACAACGATGTTCTCAACCCCAAGGAGATACCCTCTCCATCCGCAAGTAACTTCACAATGAAAGAAAGCTTCTGCTTTTCTCATACGCATTTATCTCTTCCAAAAACTTTCTTTTACCTTCAACAACTGTTATATTGATGGTCTTGGTGATGTTGTACTGTTTCCCATTATGGAGGACAGAAAACACACAAGAGTAATAACCCGCATCTTCGAATTCAGCATCCTTCTGGATCATTGGGGGATTGATGATTTCCTTGCAGTTCTGGATTTTTAAAGGCAAGTGAAAAATACTTTAAGTTAGGAAGGGCAGTGTTCTTGTCAAAATCATTCACATTTCCAAGATCTTTAGAGATGAAGGGAAACAAAACAGAAAACCAGAAGCCCGTAAGCTCATGTCCCAGCAACTCATCCTCCATCTACTGCAGCGGTGATGTGCTCTGTTATCATCACTGCCACTAACACCGAGAGGGGCCTTACCACCACTATTATCGTTTTATCTTGATCTGTTGTTCACACACATACCAAGAGAGAGACAGACAAACAGAAACAGAGACAGAATACTCAAATAACAAAGTCCTGCTTAGGTGAAGGATGTCTATGAAATACAACTCTACTGCATGACAACTTCGGGTCCAATTCTATATTTAAGGGGTTGGACCATGGAAATGTGGACAGAATGACCCAGAGGACTGAGTAGAGGTTGTCCACTCTGGATTCTTGATGTCCTATACCTAAGGGCATAGATGACCAAATCCATAGGCATACTTCAATCTTTCCATTTCTTTCCACATATATCACAGTAATCAATAATAACAAGAGTAAAGCCACTGTCTACAAACTAGCCTTCGGTCATCCACTTGCAAATTCTGACAAGTGTAGACGCTGTGAGAAAAGGAAAGCTGACTGGCTAACTTTGACCATGTGACTCTGTTCCTCCACATGCCTAACAAGGAGAATCTAATGCCCACAGACTTTGCCTCATGCTGGCCACTGCTGGTGGCCTCCGAAGCTAGGCCCAAGCCATTAGCCAAATGTCTTCCAAAGTGCCCATGTGTATCTCATATCAGCAAAGTGTTTCTGAATATAAGTAGAATCTTCTAAACCTAAGCAAATTCTTTCCAATGTAGACAAAATGCCAGAAGGTCTTCATTTGCAGTCCCAATCAGACCTTTTCTGATTCACCTCAATAAGGTCAGGGACAGTCCACAAGCTGAGCATGCTTGGTCTTGTGGTCAGCTGTTCAGCCATAAATAGACCCAGAACATACATCTTCTAAATTTAGGTATCTGTATATTGGGGTTTCCTCAATCCCAGCAACCAAGCCTCCCTAATTTACATGTACCACAAAGTGTATATATTTGACAGGAAAAGAAGGCAAGTCAACCCAAGACTGAATTATATGTTTAGAAAACATTTCAGATAAGAAGTCTCCTTGACAACTCACACATAAACACTGTTACAGCAAGAGCTACCAGCACACTTCAAAGAAATCATCAATAGCTCAGCTTGCTGGAGTTCCCCTGTCCAGATTTTTGATGGGGTCAGAAGCTCAGATTTGCTCTTCTACACACACAATATAGATCATGTTGCATGTGTGAATACATACACAATTTTATACATGATATATATGAGACACAAGTATGAGTAGCTCCCCCATGGCACCTTTTCAAAGAGCTCTTACAACCCAATAAGGAAAAGGCCCATCAATGAAGCAAACAGAAAACACACAGGCTATCCACAAAAGAAGTCCTACTATAATTTAGTTCACACACTTAACATTTCTAAGAGTGACAGGAATAAATGCTGAGTTTCTGAAACGTTTGCTGTCAGATTTTTAACTTTCTGGAAGTATTGTTTCCCATGTTGGGATAGTGTAGGGGAGAGGGGAGGCAGAGTTAGGTAATGTGTATCAAAAGCCGATCAATTAACTTCTCCCTGGTCCTGTAATCCTACATCTAGTGATTTTCATGAAGGGTTAATCAAATAAGCACCCAAAAATTTATATAAATATCATTCATTATAATATGCAAATAACAGTAGGACACAGGAAACTCGCCCATGCCTAATAACAATGAGATAGATCAGTTAGTTTAAATCAAATCCATACAAAATGCAGTTCCCTGTTTGAAAGAAAGCTGTGCAAAGGTATGGGTGAATAACCACATCATTTCAATCAGGAAAAAAAAAGACCATCAAACAAGTCACTTTTACGGAAAGATGTTTATCTAGGTAAGGAAACAAATACAGCTGTGGGATTAGGGGTGATTTTTCATTTTTTTTTTCATTTTCTGTCTTCCAGCTTTATAAAATGAACTCATATATTCAGAAAATATATGCAATTGTGTTTGAATGGATGTGGCAAAAGAAAATGAAAAATCCTAAACTAGCATTCCCAGAAATGTGTGTGTGTGTGTTTTTAATAGAAGGAGAATGAAGGAAGAGAGTTAGAGAAGAAGCTGTCATCGTGTACTGAAGACCTACTACAATATAGGGTGGCTACCATGCTACACACATTGTACAAATCAGCGCTTTACAGCAACCTTATGGGACAGTTTCTCACACAGGTAAGCCATGGGGAGTTGGACCACTTGCTTTTGATGAGGGCAAAGTGGTCCACAGTCTTCCTATCCTCCGTGTGGATTGCTATCTTTCCTATGGAGTCTTAAGTGGAAGTGCTTTCAACTTGTTACCTTATATAGTGATGTGTGGTTGATCAGCTCACTGTAGTTAGGATTTTCACATGGTATGTGTAAAGCTTTCTTGACTTCCACATTTCTATTTGTCACAAGTTTTTCAGAAAAACAGCTGTGTTCATTTCTTTGGATGACAGTTAGGGTCCAATTTTGACAATCCTTTCTATGAAACAAAGGTACAGAGGGACTTTATAATTACTAGAGAAGTTTTGCAACTACTTCCAATCTTGTAGTTTTACCCTAATTTCTATAGGAAGAGATTTATTCATTGGTGTGTAAACTTTTCTCTGCCACCCCTTAGCTCAGATCAGAAAGTTTACAATTGTCATGGGGTGAAAGATTACACTCCAGAGCAGTCTAGACATACACTCACCATCACAACACACACACACACACACACACACACACACACACGTGCATATGACATACACACACCACACATACATACCAAACATACTACATACAGCCATCCATACGACATGGATGGTAGAGCAACAAATGATGTAAACTTTATCTTCAGTGCTGGACAAATTCAGAGACTCACGAACCAGGATGGAAGGGTAGCCCGAGTTTCAAGAGAACTGTTGACCTAGTCTCCTCAATGTGTATGCAGAGGCACTGTGTGTTCCTTTTCTCAGGGTGGTTTACTCTGTGGTCTTTCTCCTTACCATTGAATAAACTGGAGGTTGGCACAGCCCTTGCCCAACTGAACAAAGGTGAACTTCAGTATCTCTTTTGCCTCTGAGTTCTCAGCTCAGAAATCAGCCATCTTGAAGACGGTGATAAATGGCTTATCTTTAAACAACAGTGTTTTAAAAAGTAAAAACATGGGCAATTTTATGTTTGTTCACGCCATGCATAGGACATGTCAGTGCACATCCTAAAAATAGCTATCATGCTGTTACAGTGTCCTGTGACCTGGGAAACATGTACCCCTGAGCTTTTCCAGGTCCCCTTTACAACTCTGACAAGCTGGATAGAAGAGAATGAAGTAGTCTGTTGCTCACCGACTCCCAGATATTTTACAATGTGGGTAAAGGGGAGACTGACCATTTCCCTCATGTTCAGATGAGAAAGGCAAGTCTTCAAGGAACCAAATAACTTGCCCATGGTCATACAGGTGTGTGTGTGTGTGTGTGTGTGTGTGTGTGTGTGTGTGTGTGTGTGTGTGTTATACTGGATGGGAAAAGGGTGTAAATGCACATTGGTTTAACCCTAAGGGGCAGGAGTGGTTGGCGGGCATAATACTACATTTTCACACTCCACGCAGTCTCGCTCTTTACCTTGTGTTGAACACAGAGAAAACCAGGCAGGAATAGAGAGGGTAACTGACTGTCCCATGCTGAAAAGCAGTGAGTAGGTGGCCATGGAGCATAACCGAGCTTGGCCTTGAAAGGGGCTCACATTCCCATTGGCAGAATCCTCTTCTTAAGATTCTTCTTGGCAGACAACATTGTTTTCCACCTCTGTGATTCTCAATTCCTAACACTCAGCAAATCTTGACAGTGCCTGCCAGGTTTGGGTTCGGGAACCCCTTAGGAATGCAGAACCAAGCAACCCTCTGCACTTGCTGGCAAAGAGTGAGCATCAAGACTGGAGTGAAGTTGAGACCAGGGGAGTCAAAATCTAGGATCCCCACTTCCCTGTAGGCACTCTGATTACAGTGGCCCCTCTGGCTGAGTTCTGAGTGGGTTAAAAAAAAAAGAGCCACCACAAGCAGGCAGATCTCTGTGAGTTCGAGGCCAGCCTGGTCTACAAATAGAGTTCCAGGAAAGGCGCAAAGCTACACAGAGAAACCCTGTCCTGAAAAAAAAAAGCCTAAAGACTGATTGCTAAGTTGTAGAACACCTGCCTAACATGTACATAATATTGGGTACCAACAGCAGCAAGCTAAAACAAGATGAAGGAGGAAAAAAAAGGAGAGGGAGAGATAAAAGAGAGGAGGGAGGGAAGAAGAGAAAGAAAGAGAGAAGAGGGAGGGAGGGAGGGAGGGAGGGAGGGAATAAAAAGGGAAGGACCGCTATTTTCTTCTCTCTGGCTCCAAGATAGGCTTTTTGTGCATCAGCCTCGGCCTCCTTCCTTTATTTCCCCACCTCTACCACAGAAAATTCTCTCTTCTGTAAGACCTTCTTTCTTAGTTGATTTTTCTCCCGTTTTAAAAGCTTTCAATTTTTAAAATTCAGTGTGTAGGCAAGCATGTATGTCTGTGCATACAGAGGTATCGGTGCCTGCACAGCCCGGAAGAGGGTGTTGGTGCCTAGATCTGGAGTTACAGGTGGTTAGGAGTCACCCAACATGGGTGCTGGAAACTGAACTCGGGTCTTCTGCAACAGCAATGCATTTTCTTAACCGCTAAGCTCCCTCTCTCCAGCCTCCAGGGCTCTCAAACACACCGGGCCGTCTCCTCCGCACTGATTTCCTTCTTAGACTATGGCACAGACATGGAGTTCGTCGTTTCCTTGCACTGTATCTGAAGATGCTCAAGGCTCCTGCTTCCACGCGGAAGCTCGATGACCCTCAAAGCCATTGTCAAAGCCTCTTCTTTGTCATGAGGTCGTGCTCATCTGACTCACTACCTTCCAACATACTTCAGGGGTTGTCTCTGAACTCTTCTTGTGTCTCCATGCTGCTCTCTCGTCCTTCTGTTGCTTCCTAACCCAGGCTGTGCTCTCTGCCCTCCACATGAGAAAAATGGAGAACAAACTCCCTCTGTCTCCATCTACTCCCCACAATGACCATAGGTGCCTCTTCCCCTCAAATGGCTCCTTCCACTTTATCCAGGACACCCGGGTCTTTAAGTCATGTCTGTGCAACTAAAACGGCGAGGACATGAGTTGTTTTGCTTCTTCATTCATCTTTTTAACTTGCTCTAGAAAGATCCAGTTGCTACCAATTTATTCTAATTATCCCTCTTAAAACAGTGCATATGAACTGCACTGTTAAAAACAACAACAACAACAACAACAGTTCTACAACTTATTTCTGAGGCTAGGAAGCTTCTGTGTCTCATAAACATCTATGACCTCATTTTGTGAAAAACCACAGGAGTGAAAAAGAGGCTTTGCTGCGAAATCTCACTTCTCTCTCTAAGGCGCACTGATAACAATCAGGACTCACCCTAGAATAAAGAGAGCTTTCTCAAAGAAATCTTTGACATCTCACAGCACAGTGGGTACCACCCTGCTAGCCCTCAGTGAGTTTTTACAGGTCAATGTCAAATCTTTATAAATAAAAGATGTTTACCTACCCACATGTGCATGTGCCTCTATGTGCATAAATATGTACAGGCATGCTCTCTCTCGGTCTCTCACTGATTTTGGCTCTTAGCTTGTGGCTGGGTAACAATGATTCCTTTTCCCCAATGACCCTGCTTCTTTTTTCCCAGTAACCTCTGAACACTAGACTAAAGTTATTCCATAAATCCTACCCTTTCTCTAAAGTCTGATGAGTCCATGTGGGAGGCTGCCCCTGCTGCTCCTTTCTCAAGTGCCATATCATCCTGAAATCCTTGCTACAGAACTTTAAAACATGCCTGAATCCCACCTCTACTTATCATTATTTAGGATCCCCTAAAAGGATTAATCATTAATATAATCGTGCACTAAGGTCACTAAGAAGATAAATACAAAGTGATTGGCTCAGTTTTTCTGCAATGAAATGTTTGTTTCCTGTTGAAGTAAGAGCAGGGGAGAAAAAAAAATGCATGGGTTATCTGAGCTTACAAATGTGTACTTGGGTTGCTAAGCCAAAGCCAAGAGGCCTAGGAAATATGTTGAAACAAAATGGTTTACTCACCCCACTTGGGAAAAGTATGTTCCCTTGTCCTCCAGCTCAACTGGCCAGAATTCCAAATCATAACCATTGAAAGTAATTCTGGATGAACTTTCAGTGTTCAACTCCACATGCTCACGGGAAGCATCGCCTTTGAACCATTTTATAGTGGCTGTTTCATTCTTGTGCACGGGTGAAGATGTTTCACAGAACTTCAAATAAAAAGGTTCTCCCTCCATTGCATGAATTTGGGGGCGGCGAATGCAAATTTCTACAGCAGATTAGTCAAGGAAAGAGAGAAAGCAGGACAAATGTGATTTTTCACCCTTCCAGGAAATGTAAGATCAATGAGAAAGCTACAAGGAATCTCAGCATCACATGCCTGTGCTGGCATTTGTCTGAAAGAAGACTTCCTAGAGATAAGACACTTTCAGAAGAGGGATGAAGATAAAACAGATGCCTCCCTAGACAGAAAGCTAGCTGTGAGAGCATAGCCAGCCTTCCTCACTCAAGACAGTGCACTGTGGCCACATCTTAAAAGCATGATGCTTTACAACTTACTGTTAAGGAAAGACACAGAAGTCCTAGCATCACCACATTGCCCCCAAATGTCACCACTGTGAACTCTCCACGGAAAAGACAAGACATCTATATGTACATTCTCCACCTATATCACAAAAAGCCTCATGTCCCTTGTGCCCAACCAGTCTGTCTACTCGATTTTAGGAAGGTTCGGGAGACATAACAGAGCTCTTGGGCAGCGAAGCCCCTACAACATGTTTCCATGTGACTAACCAAGAACTGATTAATGTAGATCACTCCTGATACTGGATCTCTTTCTCTTTCCATCTCCCTGTTTGTCAGCTCAGATACGGTCTTTAAAATTTTAACTTTTTTTCCATCTACACAGAGTGGACCTCCATTCTAAATTGGAATTGTTGAACAGTTCTCAACCCCATACCCTCATGGCTTGGAATGCCCTTAATTTTCATTTAGAAAATTACAATCTCTTAAGTAAATGGAATATTTCCTTAAGATGATATACAAAATGTTGTCTCTGTAGTTAGAGTTGATTGCCCTGAGCAACATTCTGGCTTTAACATGACACTAACCACAGCAGAAAGAGGAAGTGTCTCAAATGTCAGATCTACTTCAAAGCGCATGAACGATACAGAACAGCTTCTTGCTGGTGGTTGTAACATCGTCTATTTTAAATTTCAATTCCCCAATGCAGTTTTTCCTTGACAGTCAAAACAAGAGTAAGTCCTTAACATGTCAGTAACTTTCCTGCCTTACAGAGTCGTGTGTAATAAAGTATACAGCTCATACGGTGCTCTCCTGTGTTTCTCTCCTTTTACACGCCATCAAGTCTACAATGGCCATTCAATTTCCTACATGTAGCAGTAATGTGTTCTTTCCTCTTCATTCTTACATGATGCTCAGCCATGCTGTGGTCTAACTATTCATTGTATGCATGTTGGGGATTTGGATTATTGTAAAAGAATCTATTGGATATCTGAAGTTACTTTAGGTGTCCAAGTGTTGATTCACTTAAAAAAAAAAAACACCAAAAAACCTTCTTATGCTTTGATTGATAAATTGAATTCCTCTTTCAGATGAACTTGGTTTGAAAAACAAAATAATGGGTGGTGGGGAGCTGAAAATCTATAATTACGAGGAACCTCATGTCTTAAGATGCCTTTTCCTATGTTTAGCATTTCAGCCTTGCTTTGTTGATTAATATGATGGTCTTTAGAAATGGTCTTTGATTATATAAATGGACAGAGGTCAAAGTGTGTGGACTGTGAACAGACAGTTCAGTTCTTCCATGGTCAAAGTCAGTGGTTTATAGTGTCTGAAGTAGACAACTGTGTGAGGCCAGCACCAACAAGTCAGATGAATTCCACACATGAATATTGCTGCATATGGCTACAATTCCCATTCCTGAAAGGTGTTCTCTAAGCCCTCAGAGGAACAGGGAGCTAGAACCTGAGCTCCAGACCAGATAGGCTGCAGAGCTGGTTTTGTGCCAAGGTTGTTTCATGGCAATTAGCATCGAGTGACGTTTATCTATGGAGCATGGAATACATGACACACATCTTCCTGTACTTGGCTGTTTTTCTCAGTACTCCCTGACAAATCATTTCATATAAGAAGAGAGGGATGGGCAGTCTTCAACATCTGGGTAGCACTGCACTGGGTGGTAGGTAGCATTCCAACAATGCTTGGGTCTGTTCACAAGCACACCTCCAGACTGGACATGTAGTATGTGAAAGCATTAAAAGCTAATCTCTGTTTTCTTTTCAGAGTGATTCCCAATGTAAGGGATATGGGCCCCAGTGTTCCCTTTGATGGATAACATTCTGAAGTAAATTAACTGGCTTGCTCCCTTTCTCCTCCAAGTCCTGTGCAAATGGTCCTCAACTGTGGAAATTCTCTCCAAGAATAGGACCTTCAAGCCCTTCCCCATGAGGAGAAGAGCACCAAAGGACCACGACTAATAAATGAAAGTTGACATTCGGCCTGCTGTGATGCCTGCTGTAGCTTCTAATCCAGCCTGTCTCTTTCTTATATTTCTAGCACTTGGTGAAGGATTTTTCTATTTACTCTCTTGAATTTCCTTTTAGAGATGAATGAATCCTTTCAATCCTGTCAGGAAAGAGAAAATGTGTAAAATTGCCTAAAATCCATAAAAAAGACAATTGTTTTCTTCTTCTATTTCAAATGAAATGAAGCAATTTTCTTCTAAAGTGTTGTTGATATGCCCCTGCCTCTCTGTAGAGTGCTCTGCACACCTTTATTTGGCCCATTCCTAACACTCTTCCATTCTCTAGCCCAAGAACACCAAATATTTCCCAATCTTCCAAAGTAAAATTTGAAGTCATGAAATGTTAAATAAATTCAACATCTTCAGTAACCATATCAGCTATAAAGAAAAAAAAAAACTCCACAATTTCCCTCTAGCTTTCTAATGAAGTCTATTTGCAAATGTTTATAAATCACTTACTTGAGGCACTTGTAACAGTGAGAACACAGAATACCAAGAATAATTCTCCACAATGCATGGTTAGGTTTCTGCTTCGACTAGTGTCCCTAGACAAAGAATAATACAAATTTAAACTTAAGCCCTCAAACAAACCAATTCCACCTTAAAAAGAAAGTTTAAAAACTCTCCTACACATAAACAAAAAGCAGACTAGCAATGTTTCATATCTCTTAAAATAGTCACCAATTTGCCAAACTTTAATGCCACACAGTGAATAAATTTTAAGGCAACAAATTTTAGCTCTCATAAAACATAATTTTTAACATTTTTAATAGAATAGAGCCCTTGACATTTAGCTTGATGCACCAAATCTTGCCCCTGGAGTCAAAGTAAAAGTCTAGAAAAAAAATATGATTCTACAGATTAAACAATCCATGGCGTATTGAGGAATTCAGTTCCACCTATGCAGGCACATGTACATTTGTGCATGCGTGCATGCATGTGTGTTTGTTCATGTGTGCTTATGTGTGTGTGCATGAGAGAGAGAAAGAGAGAGAGAGAGAGAGAGAGAGAGAGAGAGAGAGAGAGAGAGAGAGAGAGAGAAATTCCATAACTGTTCTAAGTATGTGAGATAATCACCACATAAAGAGAAAATCCTCACTTTGACTCACAGTTTCAGAGATTTCTGGCAAGTCTCACAAGTCTAAGAACTATGCTTTCCTGCCCGTCAGTAAAGCTCGCACAATGCCCGGCACACAGTAACCACCGTCATTGAAGAAGAGGTGTGTGGACCTGCGGCATGAGTCAGCATGGGCTACCCCGGTGCTGTGTTTCCTTTAGGGAAATGGAGAAAGTAAGTGGCAGGCCCCCGTAGTTACACTGACCCTCCTTACACTGACTGTGACCCCAGGTCATGGATCTTGCTGCTTTGAACACTGATCCTAGAACATCCCAACCTTTACCTTTCTGATTATGAGCAACAAGAGCGGAGTGGAAGAAGGCTCTTCCTTGGTGGAGTCCCGCATGAAGTCTAGACATTTCACAAACAATCCCACATCTCTTGTTTACTGAAAAGCCTACTGCCTCCACCCCACTGCCTCAAAGGAACACCGGTAACACAGAACACAGCTGGACAGAAAGAGGTTGGTTTCTTTCCAGAGGCATACAAAACTGACTAGAATCCCCGTCAGTAAGCTGTGGACCTTGGGCAAATAAAATAAGTAGCTCATTGCCAAAACACCAAGGGCAAACCAGTTTCCTCCAGAATCTTGAGGAATCACAGTACCTAATGCTAACAAAGACTTTTGAGGACATGACAGCCTCGGAACCTAGAACAATACCCCAAGTGCTGCTCACCTCCCATCCTAACTAGCCAACCTGGGAGAAGGCTTTTATGATACAGCTACCAAAACCACCTACTAATCTGCAAGAGATGATACTGAATAGTCTAAAAACCAAAAAGATATCTGTTCATGGAAAGTACCAACCATTCAGAGTCAAATTCAAACTTCCAGTCACCCACTCCCACGCCTTTTATCACTGTCTAATATTTCTGTCTCGAACAGAATGTGATGTGTGATTTCCTCTATACCATTTCTGCAACTAAGGCTATCACAGACTTGCAAGAGGAACTAATTTTTCTTTTTCTTTTTCAATTTTAAGCCCTCACAAGAAATAAAATCACATAGTTATTCAGCATTCCAATAAGGTATGATTTTTCAGTGTGAGTCAAGTTAAGATCTCAGTATTAAAAAAAAAAAAAAAAGATGCTATCCACACAGTTGTGTGAGTGGAGGAGTGCATAGTACTTTCTCTGTGTAGTTTAATGCCTGTCCTCGCTCTGTAGACCAGGCTAGTCTTGAACTCACAGAGATCCACCTGGCTCTATCTCCTGAGTGCTGGGATTAAAGGTGTGTGCCACAACCACATGGCTTCTTTGGTGTTTTACTAACTATCAAAATTCACTTTCAGATAAAGAGCTATTGTGAAAAGTGCTGTTATGACCTGTCACAGGCCAGCTAGCAGAGCAATGATAAAGCAGATGTGGTGGGCAGGGACATTACATTCCTTGCATGTAGGAATTTTAAGGGTTGTTAGCTTTCGTGTCCCTTGTTCCTGAGTTTTGTTTTGGTTTGGTTTGGTTTGCTTCCCAGTAACCTTGAAGCATCTTTCCTTCCTTCTTCAATCAGTTTCTTTTTTTCTAATTTGCAAAGCAATGTCTGTCCAACATAGACTATTTCCAAAACAAAGACTGAGGAAAAAGAAGCCATTCTCAACATGCCTAATATTTTCACATTCTTCTGGTACTTTTTGTAATACATTTACAATCATGAAATGATGTCTAATCAGTTTCTCATCTTGTACTTCCTCTTGATAATTAAGCCCTGAAGGTTTTTCCTACCTTACACTTTTCTCTGTTCTCGCTATTCTCATTGCCACCTCAGACTCCCTCCTGTGCGTGTCCAATCACTTCCAGAATGAACTGTATGACACAATAGCCCGTGACCGTCTTTGTTCATAAGGCAGTATAGCTCAGTTTTATGGAGCCCAACTGCTGGCACCAGCTTGACTAGATCTGAATCTTCACTCTTTCCTTTACTAGCTTAGCAATCATGGGCACCACCTAGAGAGCTGTACTCTGAGTCCTTGATCCACAGAAGGGAATGGCAGTTCTACCTCCCAGGGTTGATAGGGAGCTCCAAGTGATCCTACCCAAAATGTCCCGAGAATAGTAAGTGTCATCTAAATGCTGGCTGTTACCGTTGGTTGTTTTTATTTCTTGTCATTTTATTGGTGTTGTGATATGGTGAGACAGGGGAGGAGTCCAAGGCAAGAAGAATGCATGCTGCCCAACCACATTCCAGAAACCTCTCAGCAGCTTCCATTTCCTCACTCAAGGGTGCAAAGCACTTTCTACCACGCCCAGGACAGCACACCTGGCCTTGATTTTTCAAATCTAACTCGGCTGTTTAAGTGGGACAGGGCCTCTTATCTATTTGAATTCGTGTTTTCTTTATTTTTATAAACAAAGCAAATAATCACATAATACTAACTGTTTTATTTCATGCTTATGAATCTTTTCATAGCAAAATGTTTGGAATTTTATCCAACTTGTTAAGCTTACTTTTAATTTCTCCTTTAGCACATGAGCATTTGGAAATTTTTTATATCGGTACACTCAAGCCAAGACTCTTGTGTGTGTGTGTGTGTGTGTGTGTGTGTGTGTGTGTGTGTGTGTGTGTTTTCTATTACGATCATTCCTTTTCTTTTTCCTCAGAGGTAAACAAATGATTAACGATATTCTCTTCACTTTTATGGCCTCATTATTATTTTTACATTTGACTTATTTTTAAATTTACAAATATTAATTTTGTTTACCATGAAAATAGAACCTAAATAAATTTCCACTTCCAAAATAACTATGAATTATTTCTCTGTCTAGTCAAGTATTTCCCAACTTCTCTTGAAGTCTGCGGATATCTACTTACAGTGTACAAGCTCTCTCAGTATCTGGGAAAAATCCAGCACAAGATGCTTGCCCAGGGGCAAATGTGTGCAAGCATGCACATACCCACTTTCTCTCTGTTCTCGCTTTGCTTATCCCTAGTAATTGCTACTAATTGGAATGTGCCACTTTATGTCTGCTTGCTGGGTTATTTGTTGAATTGACGAATAAGCCAAATGCATAAAATACAGATAGATGGGAGTCCTGAGTGATTATTCAACTCATTCCACACCTGAATCATCTTCTACATTTTAAAGTATGACATCTTCAAAAGTTTGTTTTGACAAGTGATGCCCAATAAGCATAGCATGGATCTTTTAAAAAGATAAAGAAGCCTGGGCTCCACACAGCTGTCAGGGGACAGCCTGGGCCCCTGAATCTTCCACACTCTCTGCTGATTCCAGTGTGCAAACAGATGGAAAGCCACCCATCTAGAGGACTTACCTGTTCACTCAGAAAAGTACATTTCATAAGAGATACATTCATTCAAAGTTAATGTAATATGAAAATATAAAGTTAATACATGTGCAAGTATGTTTGTGTGTACTCATGAATACAAAGAGTAGTTACAAACTCAATTACCCAATGATATAAAATTTTCTCTAGACTAAAGAGGTTCTCTTCCAAAAGTTATTCGACCTGATGGCCTAGAATGAAGGCCAGATGCAAGTTGACCAGTATCTTTGCCCCCACCCCCACCCCCAGGCAAGGGTGCACTTTCAGAATAACCTTTCAGGATTTCAAAATGGTCATGTGCTAAGTTCCTGATTCTGTCCCATCCCCTTTTGGGGCCTCACCATGAGGAAACGGACCATATTCTAGAAAAACAGTCCATCATATACATGGATGTTAAGCCCCTTCAAAACCTCCCAGTGAGGAACCTGTTTTCCAGAGTACGAAACAGCCAAGCTCATGACAGCGAGTTTCACTGACTCACAGGTCAACACATTGCCTCAATGTCACCCATTCATTAGCAGAACCTAGCCCTGACAGATCCCTAACACAGAGTGCCTTGATGAAAGTTGCCCCATGAAGTTTTTCATTTTCTCCACGTTGAGAGCTGGAGATAGGCTAGGCAAGCAGTCTAGCACTGAGCTGGGCTATCTGTGATTTTTTTTTTTTTTTTTTAGCACACAATCTATATTTAGCACACACACTATAGTTTCAAGTGCATAAGTGTTTGACTTCATCTACAAAGAGGCGAAACAGCCAGATGTAACTAGCAAACGTGATCTTGAGCACATCCAGAAAATCACTGCCACCTCACAGTGCTTGACCTAAAAAATTATCTGCTGCTATTATCTCCACAACTTTTCCCAAGTGTGGATCCAGACACACAGACCATGTTCCCTACCCCTCCTCTTCTCCAGGACCCCTATAGTCCTTGCAAAGTGTTTGGCTTCCCCAGGAATTTGCCAGTCCAAGCCTACCCTACCTCATGACAGCTCCATCCCTCCCTCCCGGACCAACCTCCACTTTCTGCAGAGGTCCCTGTTGTGTGTGTGTGTGTGTGTGTGTGTGTGTGTGTGTGTGTGTGCGCGCGCGCGCGCGCGCAGGCAAATGCACATGAACGCATTCATGGGCTTGCTATCCCCAAGGCCTGCATCCATCAGCTCTCCCCCTCACCCCCCCCATTCCCCCACCCCCCCGTCATTAATTGATGTGATAACTGTGATGTAACCTGCTGGGACTTCTCACCTCTGGAAGCCCCTTGATTAAACACAAAGATTTTGGAATCAAGAAAACATAATGTGAATCTCCAATCTATTACTAGATGGATGTCCTTTAGGTAAATCCTGAATCTCTCTACCGCCCTCATTTATTAAACCTGATGATGATGCCTATTTTATTCCTTTCCTAGGAGGATTAAGCAACTGTAACACAGCCTAAGAAAGGCTTGGTGCACTGTCAGCAGGGGGGTAAGCCCTAAATAAAATCAACTGTTGCTGTATTTCAGCTCTTCACATCTCTCTGCAAAGGAACTATAAACCTGTACTCTAATTATCCGTGTACACACACACACACACACACACACACACACACACACACACACACACACACGGCTCACAATTGATCTTGTTTTCAGGATCTTTGCCCCCTGAGAGTGGGTCGCCCCTTCCCCTTGCTCCAGGCAGCAGCAAGGAGTGAGGAGGGCCATCAGAGCCTGTCCTTACCTTCAGAGAGGTGTCTCAGAGGCAGGGCTGGGCAGTGGTCTGTCCTTCACTTATATTTGAGAGGCAGAATTCACACAGCAGGTGAGAAAGAGTGATCCCTCCCAGTCTACAACTGTGATACCAGAAAGAGATGGGGGGGTTGCGGGTGTGCAGTGAGGCTGGGCTAGGAGAGCGTGACTAAAGAGATCAAACAACCTGGATGGCTGTGGGGGGGTGGGGGGGGAAAGCCAAAGATGCGGGGGTGGGGAAGAACAGAACAGTGAAAAGAAAAGCTAAGGCTATAGGTGGGCACCGCCCGGGGTGGAAGGCGCTCCAGGCTCCGAGTTGTGAGCTGAGGACTGAAGTCTAAGGCTCTCCCAAAAGTGGGCCGCTCCACTCAGGAGCTCTTGAGGTTTCCAGTCTGGGATGCCCCGCGCTCCCCGCTCCCCGCCCAAGACTGTGCTGATTTCCCTCTCGCCTCTGCTCACCTACCTATAAGCTCCCCAGTTCCCGGAGCTAAAGCCCTCGAGGCGATAGACCCTGCCGTGGGAAAGTCCGTGGAGCGTCCTGGTCTCCACGGACTCTCCGCCGCCCGGGACCTCCCGAAGACGCATCGCCGCCACCTCCAGCATCGCCGCCACCTCCAGCTTCCGGGGACCTGCGCAGCTCCATCTACTCTCTACCGGTGGTAGAGTCCATAGCCCGGGGTGGTGGTGCACGCCTTTAATCCCAGCACTCGGGAGGTAGAGGCAGGTGGATCTCTGTGAGTTTGAGGTCAGCCTGGTCTACAGAGTGAGTTCCAGGATAACCTGAGCTATTACACAGAAAAACCCTGTCTTGTAAAACAAAACAAAGCAAACAATAAAGAACCACCTGAGCACACCGCACCCTTCTGGCAGAGGGCGCTAAGAACCCAGGACTCCTGCACTGAGGGGGAGCGGTGAGGTCTGGAGAGAAGAGAGGGAGGAGGCCCTTGGAAGAGAGTCCTTAAGACTGCCAGGCTCCCAGAGCCAACAGGGAACCAGTACCAGCTCAGGATGCCCAGCCTCCGGAATGAGTCGGAATTCACAATTGGGACGTAATGGAGAAATTTTAAATTGGTCAAAAGAAAAGTAAAACGAACGGTATTTCTAGGTTTTTATAGTAACCCTAGAACTCTTCAAACACACACGAAGAGAATGCTCACAGAGCCAATGACACAATTATTTTTGCCCAATCAAAAAATAATTCAGCATATATAAATAGGAAAAGCATAATTTTGCTGGGATAAATGGAAAACACGTCTTTAACAAACTTTAACACTCCTACGACACAAAAAATTGGACACAGAAAGGGTCATTATTCCCTTCCTAATCTGATAAAGGATGTTAACAAGCAGCCGCGTGGAGAAATGTTTTGTTTTCCTGTGACTAGTAACCAGAAACTGATGTCTGCTCTCACCTGCACAAGCACTTTGAGGAAAAATTTTGCAACTCTAAGGGTAGGAAAGGGTAAAATGGAAGTACTGGCTTCCACGGAAGCTGTTTTTTAGGTGGGTCACCCTTTAAACCTATCAAAACAATTCAATAAAACTACTATCTTGAGTTTCGCAAAATCGTCAGATACAGGTTCACTTCAGAAATATCAGTTATGGGTTTCTATATTAGTGATAGGACTGAAGCAGGAAATCTGGTAAGGGAGCCAATTACAGCAGCGTGAAACAACAGCATTAATCCTTCGAAAGACTCATCCTCTGTGCTTGGGCAGCTGAAGAGCATGCGAGAGCAGTGAAAAAGCTGCACAGATGTAGATGGACACCAAGGGCATGGACTGAAAGTCATTTCTGTCTGGTTATCTACTTTCAACTCATGGTTCAATGTTGTGGGATAATCCTTCTGTACAATACAAAGATGTGCTGCTCTCACTGTGAGTAAAGAAGTGGCTGGTCAATCAATAGCTAGGCAGGATTCTCAGGGCAGAGAGAATGCTGGGAAGAAGAGTGGAGTCCTTGAAGATGAACTTGCCTTACTGAGATAAGGTACCGAGTCACGTGGTAAAACATAGAATTATGGGTTAACTGAAGTTGTAAGAGATAGTTAGCAACAAGCCTAAGCTATTAGCCAAGCATTTATAACTAATAATAAGCCTCAGTGTAGTTATTTGGGAGCTGGCTGGTGGTACAGAGCCCACTGCCTGGACACAGAGAAACACTGCCTACAGTTTAATTGATATAGAACACACTTCAGACTCTATGTTAAGGGTTCTACATACAATAATATCCAAATCCTAGGTAGAATTTTCTAAGAAACTAAGAATATGTCTCTAAAATGTATATATGAAAATACAAATAGTTTAAAATTGTCAGAATAGTCTTGAAAAGGAACACTTTCTTGGGTCACTTTAGGTGGGTGAGGTAGCAGGGATAATGAATCATCTATTCCCAGGTAGGAGACTGGAGAGAATTTTATTTTTAGAGGTCTTCATTAAGATAAATCATGGAATACAGTCAACTCACATGGTGTACAATGAGATTTTATAATTCCAAATATGAGTATTTACTGAATTGTTTCTGAAGTCCAAATTCTTCTATTTTCTATTAGCAAAAGAATCTAGTGTGGTATTGCATTTCATCTGAGCTAAGAAAACTTTTATTTGAGGACATTAAGGAACTTACTCACAGTCATGGAGCTGGTTATCCAAAACAAGGATTCCTTCCTGGTCCCACATTCTATTGTGTGAACTAGTTATATACACAGCATGCCTTTCATGGGTCAGTTTCGGGCAAGTCAATAAAAGTAGATAATGTTATGTAAGAACACAGCACTCTACTACAATAGAGCAAGTGGATATAGCATGGACAACCACAGGATAGATGCAGAGGTAAATTTGAATTCCAGATCATCTTCAGCTAAAACTTCAGCCTTTATAATTGAACTTTAGGGAATGTTTACCTAGCAAGAAAATTTAAGAGTACAGATTAAGAGCATGGAATCCCTAGAAAGAGGGGTTTCTAGATACTTTACACAGACTTCTGGGTATATGATTTCTCTGCAGCCAGGACTCTGAAATATATGTTGACCATGAGTTCAAAATTGCTCTCCATTTCAAGAGTCTATATATTTTGTTTTCATTGTCATTTTAGTGTGGAATCCCATCACTTAGTGAGTAACCCAACTAAGGCATGGCTCATCTCTACCAGCAAAACTCGAGGTGCCAATAAGACACCTGCCTTGGCTCTGGATCCACTCCTGGGTGTCTATGACCCCAAAGTATGTGTGTTCTCCTGAAGAAGACTTTCCAGAGAACCTTTGACTACAGATTGTCTGTTCTGTCCAAATTCCCTACACATGTCATAGAAATATCACAAAAAGCAAGTTGTCTCATGGTGACAAACGTATTTGAGTCATTAGGTAAAAGATGCAATCATGTAACATGGCAGACTTGTTTCTCATAGTGGCCGCTTTAGCTGGAGTCTGCAGCACAAGCTAAGATGAGACATTCTGAATACCTGTGGTGTTAAGGAAGCTCAGTAATGTACCATAGATTTTCATTATGGTGAGAAATAGGAAAAATGCAAAGTCAGTACTATACAATCCCAGCTATACAAATCATATATATATATATATATATACATATATATACATTTTAATCATATTTTAAAATACAGACTTACTTGCCAAAATTAATCTTAAGATGACAGGGTTATAATTGCTTTTTATTATATTTTCTTTCATACCTTCTGTTTTCAAATATACCTTTATTACTTTTATAGTGAGAAAATATTTCTAAAGAGAATAAAAACACATAAAAGACATTTACAACTGAAAAAAAAACTTGATTGTAATGGCGATTTGGACAAGGTATTCTAACAAATTTGGCAATATTGACATGACAAAACTGTGTATCAAAAAAGATAAGAAAGAAATTCTGGTGTGTTGGGAATGTTCTCCATCTGGGCATGAGAATGCTCTTTGAAATGAATCAGAATTTTATGCAAGAACATCAGCTTGATACTCAGAAAGTAAATTACTGTTGAGGATTAAAAAGAAGGAATATTTTTGGTTGTGAGCCTAGCCTTTAACGACTGAGCCATCTCAAAACCAAAAAAAAAAAAAAAGAAGGAATAAAAAGAGAAATGAAAGAAAAGAAAAGGCACAGGGGATGATGTTGTGCCACAAACAGATGACATGGACAAAGGAAAGCACAGAGAAGGGAGGTATGGCCCCATCCACAAATAGGAAAACGAACTAGCATAGTCTGTTAGCTGGGACCTGACGCTGCAACGCTTGACATCCCAAGTCTTCACAGCTCCACTCCACTGCCTGCTCCTGGGACACACCCAGCTCTGGCTGGTCAGGTCCACAACTCAGAAGTGTTTCAGGTCCAAGCATGTCTTGTCACGCAGAGGAGCCGCACCAGATGCCAACTTGGGGAGTCTGGTTGGCACTGGCATTTGGTACCTCACATGCTTCCAAAATTTGGAGCTTAGAGACTGCTTGTTGGCCACGTGGTCTTCCCTCCACTTGATGGTCCCCTGAATTTTCACAAGGTGCTGGAGCGAATCTTGAAGGTCCCCAACCTGCAGTCGGCTGGCTTTACCCAGAGGCTCCATTTCAATAAGAATCACCTTGGAGTTGTTCTGGATGAGGGCGCTGTGCAGGGCAACCTCCTGTTCGTAAGCAAACTCTTTGCTGTGCATCATGCGAGGGGCCAGGACAAACATCTGTCTTCTGCTGCTCTGGATACTGCTTTCCACTACAGTGGCTGCATCTACAGTCAGGAGATGGATAGAGACCTCCTATCATTCCTTTTGTACATTTAATGTCTGAATCATGAACGTCCTGGATATTTAAAAGTTCTTTTTGTTGTAATCTGTTGGGAGATTCTAAGCTGATGGAGTCATATTCAGAAACCAGAAATGACATTACTGATTTTTACTACAAGAATATCTGTCCAAGGGCCTTCTGTTTAGCCAGATAAACCAATGCTAATGAAGAGTCCTTCCGAGCTACCTGGAAAAGTGAAGGTCTCTTAATCTACCAATTCATGGGGGTCTTAGAATTCATTCACTAGAATTTAATTCTTAGTCTCTTATCATCTTAAGCTAGCTATTGGCATGTTGTCAAGATGGTCAACATTTTAATTCATGCTCTGTAGGGTGCAAACTCAGCAAGCATTGGTCCTCTCAACTGACCAATGCTACAAGAGAAGTCCTGGGTCACTTTACCCCACAATGATCTCTGTTTGGAGAGCTGATTCAATTCGTGCTTTAAAAAATAATCCTAAGAAAAGTCGTATCTCCTTTCAAAGTCAACCTTTGTGCCTGAGCCAAGGCCAAGGTGATGGAGGCAGTTAGCTCTGAGTAGACTTTAAAAAAAAAAAAGGTCCCACCTAGCACTCACTGCAGAGGGTGAAAGTACATGAAAGTAGTGAAACCGTGAACAACTCAAGATCTTCTTAGAGAGCTGTGGTTACTTCTAATCAGCTGGAATGAGAAAATGTTGTGAAATGGTGACAGATGGATCCTTGTGTTGGTTGGAATTTTTCTGGATGGAAAGAGATGCAGAGTGGACATCAAAGGAGAGTGGAACATATCTAGCAAGAACCTCTAAGCACAGTGCACTGGACAGCTACCAACTTTCTCTAAGGGAAGAGTGGTGTTCTGTGGGCTTTGCTGTCCCTGGGTTGAGGAAAGATCAGTGTTCATGCACTGAGGGAGGGGAAGAGGAAACCATCCAAAGGACAGTGCTGCCATCCAACAAGAACAATACAAGCTGGATCCCCAGAGAGCATCCAAACTTCTGAGTTTGGTTGATAAAGAAGTGTTAATAGAATTTAGCTGGATGAAGAGGAAAGAAGAGATGAAGATCTGGCAGCTAGGCATACCACCATAGACAGGTAGAGGCCCTACAAAGCCTTGAACAGATTTGAGACACAGAAAGGGCACTAGTGACCATTGCCCACTATTTTCTATCCATGCAACAGTCTGAGGCAGAGCTGGCAAAGCAGGGAGGACCCCCTAAGAAGATTAAGTTTGTACCCTCATAACTTCAGGTCTTTTGTAACAGTGTCAGCATTGATCAGATATTTGAGAAGAAATCAGATTGCTCTGTGCACATGCCTGTTAATCTAGTGTACTTAAGCTCCTCTCCTTTAGTAGACACATTAATTTAAAAAGTTGGTAAATGTGAACTTTACTAGGCAATATGCTTACAATTTTCTGTCCCCATTCTCACTCCAAACCACGGTTGACCTCTGAGGAATCAAAGAAAAGTTGTCAGGGAAAATTAGAAAACTCTTGGCCTACATATATAGAGGGAGGGGAAAAACAATCTGTTGAAATGGCTGGTGTTGTGATAAAACAATCGAAAGTATGTGAGATTGGCTAAGAACACTAAGAAACAGAAGCCATTGTTCCGCTGCCCTGAGAATACAAATTTGCAAACTGTTTCATCAGCTTGAGGAAAACCAGCAGGACTTTCTCAGCTCTTTCAAATATCTTCGCTATAGGCTATGGATATCAGAGTCAAAATCTTTTCCTTGATTTTTTTGTTAGGTCTCCTGGAGAGAACAGAAAGTTTCAGAGATGGTTGTGCCCAATGGTAAAAGACTGTGACCTTCTCCCCACTTCATAACTCTCGAGACTCCAGACCCTTCCTGCCAGAGATCCTCTGGCTAGCCCATGGGACACAGAAACGTAGTTGGAGACCATTATAGGAAATTACAACTGGTCAAAAAAATAGAGAGCAAGCAAGTGTGGGGCACCAAGCCACAGTTGGAAGTCTACATCAAGACTCCATCCCCTAAGGCTCAGGGGATATAAGGGAAGAGGGGGTGGAAAGATTGTAAGAGCCAGAAGACCAGGTCAGCTTCTGTGAGGTATGTCTTCTAGAAATGACAGGGCAGCTTCACCCATGATACCTCAACAATATGGCTGCCTTGTTTAAAGACCTGAAAATGTACAACGTGAATAGATATGCTAGCACAGAAGGGGAAATCTTGTGGGGCCCCAGTCATAGACAAAAACAAAAACAAAAAACAAACGACAAACAAAAAGAAAAACCTAAATGGCAACTAAGGAATGTTGAGAGTAGAAGAGCTCCTTGGGATGAGCCTTCTGATTGATTATACTATACCAAGTGGTCAACTCTGAAATCATTTACATACAAGTAACACGAAATGGGACAGGATGAGTTATATTCTCTCTCTCTCTCTCTCTCTCTCTCTCTCTCTCTCTCTCTCTCTCTCTCTCTCTCTCTCTGTGTGTGTGTAAGTATGTATGGGTGTGTGTGCAGCAATAACAAAGAAAGAAAGGCCATGATTTCAAGAAAGAGCAAGGGGGAAGGATTGGAAGGCAGGAGGAAAGGGGGGATGATGTAATGTTTCAATTTTGAAAGTTTCACTGTTAGTCTAGTGGAATGCAAAGGAATGAAGCTGGGGCAATGGCAGCTAGTGCACAGGTGAAGACCCTGACTGATCCCACCATGTTCCATCCACACTGCTGTGAACATCTCACTGTCAGGAGAGGGCTGGGATGAGAAGAGAAATGATGAGCCTCTCCCGAGAAACAGTCTAAAAGCTCAGGAAGGAAAGGTGCTTGACATCAAGTCTCAGGACCCGAGTTTGATCCCCAAGACCCACATGGTAGGAGGGAGAACTAGAACTGGCCCTTTGCAAGCTGACCTCGGGCTGTCATACACATGTGTGGCACACACAAAATTAATGTAATTAATAAATATCTCTGGTCTTAGCCAAGCATGGTGGTTCATAAGTCATAACACATGTCATGTGTTTGAAGCCAGCCTGTGCTACATGGTGAATTCTAGGCCAGCCAGGGGAACCAGAAAAGACCCTGTCTCAAAATAATTCATCAATCAATGAAAGTCCTTCACCAATCACCTAGGAGGCCAAGTCTCTTCACATGAATTCCTTTTGTTCATGTATTTGTTTATTACAAAGTAAATAGTCTAAGCTAAATTCCCTATTACAACTCACACATTATGAAAATGAGAATTACCTCTGCTCATTACTATGAAATGATCTTCAAAACAGAATGCTAAGTTTAAAAATGCAGCGTAGGAAATGGTGCATATAGTTCACCTGATAAATTAAAATGCTAATGCAAACATATAGCTCTCACTACATACGTCATATAAAGTTTTTTATACTTAAAATTTTTAAACTGTTGTGTAATATGTCAGATGCCGTAACAACATGTTTTAACAAAGTGTGTTTCTGTGGCTCTCTCTCTTTTCCTCATCTCTCCCACCCCTTTGTGTCCTCACACCCCTTACAGCTGTCCCAGGTTCTTCTCCTCTTTTCCATTCCATGTGCCCTTTCCCCCACCCCCATCCTTCCTCACTACCTAACATTACCCTCTCTTGGTCTCTTTGCCAGAATTTTATTTTCAGTGAGTTTCAATCCTTGACCTGTGGTGGCAGCTTTACCTTGTCCGGGCAACAGGTCTCTCCCATAAATGCATAACTTGTAGCCACATTTATTTTCAAGAACGTCAGGCAGAGTGTGATGAACAAAGTACTCCACAGAGCTGGTTCCTGCTGAGCCGCCCCTGAAGACCCGTGGGTAAATGATGTAAGCATCATAAAGCTTGCCATCTGAAAATGAAACCAAGAAGTACCACTTCGTTACTGGTTCTAAAAGCTCTCATCTGGCTGTTGAGAGACAGTTCTCACCAAGTTGTATGGCTGTTACTGAATATGCTTCATTCTCCCAAATACTCTTAAAATCAAGAGATACTAACAATCCACAGTTATAAAATGTGACCAGGAAATAATAGGCCTGGGCTAAAGGTTTGTTTGTCTGGTTGGTTGGTTGGTTGGTTGGTTGGTTGGTTGGTTGGTTGGTTGGTTGGATGGTTGATTGGTTGGTTGGTTGTTTGGATGGATGGATGGATGGATGGATGGATGGATAGATGGATGGATAGATGGATGGATGGATGGATGGATGGATGGATGGATGGATGGATGGATGGTTTTTAACATCTTAGTTTCAATGATAGAGAACAGAGAGTCTGTTCAGGATACTTCAAGATTGTTTATAAGCTATTAGTATTTATCATCATGGATGGCACCTCCTGTGCCTGTTACATTTTCCCCACACAGCATTTCCCACTTAAGCACATGGCCCAGGTTCAAAGGCCTCCAGTGGATACCCAAAGCCATGGATAGTACTAAGCCCTCTATTCCACATTGTCTCCTACACACACATACCTAAGACTAATTTATAAACTTGGCACAGTAAGAGTTTAACAGCCATAACTAGTAACCAAGATGGAACAATGGACTACAACAAAATTGGCAGAATCACTGGTCTAGCACTTTCTGACCCTTATCTCAAAGGAAAACAACTGAAGCACTGTGGTACTTCAATAGTAAACCTGTCAACTAATATAGTCACTGACTAGTGGGTGGGTAACTGAAACCCCAGAAATCAAAATCAAGGACATATGGAAACCACAATACTTCATCAGAAGAAGTTCATATGCTCAAGCTAATATTGACAAGGAAGTAAAATTTCAAAAGGGGTCTGAATTCCCCACAAATCAAACAACCACCAGCTAATTGATTGCTTCATCACAAATACCTGATGTATTAACGTTCAAATGAAGGCAAATGTTTCCGTTTCACCAGAACTCTTTTTGCAGGTATAAAGTTTGTGCAACTGTGTATGCATGGAACTCATGGGAAAATCAGCATGCGCTCTGTGCTCATCTATAACTTGCTCAAATCTGAAAAGCAGGGATGATTTTATTGTTGTCCTTTCATTAAGTTTTCTCAATACATATTTCCCAAAACATTGAAACCTATCTGGGTCTCGGCAGAGTCTGTTATAGGGAACTCACTAAGAATAGTAATTCTACCAAGGAGAATATTTAGGACTAATGCCAAGAATATTTGAGATGAATATCAAGAGTACAAGGAGTGACAGGAGAAACATGGAAAATGACCTGTGTAGATGCCAAGATCTTGATGATGAGGTTACAAAGAAAACGGAAATTGGGTTAAGCAGCATAACATCAATAGACAAATAACAGTCACTGTGGGACTTTCTCTTGTAAAGAGAATCTTGAACTTGATACTCACCATTTTGAGTTTTGTAAGGTGTTGCTATGTCCCTCCAGAACAGAGCAATCTCAATCCAGAACACTTTTAAGACTATCACCAAGACATTGACAAGCATTAGCAATACACTACATCCCGCAACTATGTAGTAGGTGCTTTGATGATCAGCTATCAAGAGATGGGGAGATGAGAAAAACTATCATTAGTGTTAGTAAAATAAGATAGAATGGATGGATGCATGAATGTTGATATCCCTTGAAACCACGAGACAGTCTCACCCAATAAACCAACATGGAGTTTTCATGAATACTTTCAAAATCAACAAATCAATTTTTTTTAGCCTATCCTCTGTGAAAATCTTGAGGCTCGGTACCACAGTGTAAGGGAGACATACAGACACTTGTGAACCCAAGTAAGATAGGAGATAAAAAGGGATTTCAGCTGACAGAGACATTTTGAAGCGAGCTTGCTCTATGCTAACATAAGTAAAGAAGGCTTCCTGAAGAATGAGATCACTAAAGGATGGAGAGGATTCAGAAAGATCTAGAAAAGGCAAACCCCTCTAGTCTAGAGAGGATGCCGAGGACATATGCAGAGATGGGAGTGTGTGTTCTGAGAACTATAGCAATTCAGTTTGGGGAATTAGTGAAAGATGTGGTCAGGCCTGTGTTTGATCAGAAACTCTTGCTATGAAACTTGTCATAATATGAAGGAATGGAGGGTTGAAGATGAAAGTTCTTTTTACCAAGATTAAACTGATAGTAGTGGAAGGCTTGTTCTTATGGGAAGAGAAGGCACATTGAACGAATACAATAGAGTGAGTACCTGAGGGGAAGATGAATATCTGAACTCATGAAATAATGAGAAGGGAATTGGCAAGGTCAGTATTCATTGGCAATGCTAAGGAGCGTGAGTCAGTAGGTCAGGGGCTTACTGCATCTAGAGGGTGGGGCATATAGAAAAGAGGGCTGCTAGGCCAGGCAGTGGTGGCGCACGCCTTTAATCCCAGCACTCGGGAGGCAGAGCCAGGAGGATCTCTGTGAGTTCAAGGCCAGCCTGGTCTACAGAGCAAGATCCAGGACAGGCACCAAAACTACACAGAGAAACCCTGTCTCGAAAAACCAAAAAAAAAAAAAAAAAAAAAAAAAAAAGGAAAAGAGGGCTGCAGGTCACTGAGTATCTATAATGGAGAAGTCAGATGGCTGGGGCCTTCCCCTGTTGAGAACTTCCTTCGGCTATCTCTGAGCTTGGTCCCACATTTCTTGTTTCACAAAACACACAAGCAACATGGCTTCCAACTTCAGGAACTTGTAAGACATGTGTACAAGTTACCATTCATGGTACTCTTGGCAGTTTTAACTTTATGATCATCATAGACTTATTAGAAGTGGTGCTACTTACACCTGATTAGGAAAAGAATCTCCAGTTTGACCTAGTAAGTGGTTCTTTTTTTATCTTATTTGTAAGTCCCCACGCAGAGGCTCCAAGATCTGACATAAACATCTTTACTAATAGCTACCAATTCCTCTACCACCTCTGCTAGTTCATCATCTGTGTGTATCCAGGACAATGAACTCAAGACACCAAAGTCTGGTGATCCAAAGATGAGGAGAGAGCTCAAAACAGCCCAGAGGTTGCTGTATTTATTTCTCTAGACTTAAGTAAGAACTTCCCAAGGAGCTCATTTGGAAGAACTGTCTAAAAGTCCAGCTGGATAGGTGCTAAGAAGTCTACTTCTTCACGGGGACTATTGTTGGTAAAGTATCTATGTAGATACCTGAACATATTCAACAAGAGGCAAGCCTTTAATTCAAGATGTCCCTGAAAGTTGATGTTCGACATCTGTCTAAGTGCTTCCGAATTTGTAATGTCATCATCAATTTTCTCATCAATGACTAGACACAAAGGCTTCTTGTCAGTGTTTATAAACAGGAAAATGTCATCTGTGTTGAGTCCTGGGTCTAGGATACTTGGCAATCCCTTAGGGTCACTCTACCCTCGCTTCCTCACTTAGTGAGTGACCTTAACAGATAGTACAGGTGTGGTGCCGAGAAGATAAACAATAACTTCAAGGGAAAGTAATTAGATCCAGCCTGAACACAGGAAACACTGAATATGTGCATGTACTAGACCCTAAATTTGCACCGAACAGTGTTTAGGAATATGCAGAGGGAGGCTTTTTAAGCTTTTGTTATTTAAATTTAAGAAATACCAGAATTTCAGAAATAAGGAATTCAATATGATAATTCAACAACAATAGAGACAATTTTATTTAATATGCTGAGTTGTCGAAACAGTATAAACACGTTGATTTGAATGTTAACAGGTGAATTAAAAATAAACTAGAGAGTACAAAATCACACACAAACAAAACAAATATAAAACTCCAGATAGCACAAATATAATTCCAATAGAAACGTAACTAGAAAAGATTCAGAAATCTAGACAAAAGATATTGTTAGCAGAGGAGAGCACTAAGGACATAAAGTCTTGCTGGGTGAGGACAGGGATGTGGTTTCCCTTTCCCTGTGGAATTCACTGTTCCCACAACCACCCTATAACACAGTGCTATGGTCCGTGGTCATCCTGAGCAGCACCATTATCGAGGCAGATGCGTAACGTCTTGCTGAACACGATAGTACTGAGAGTTACCTATGAGTCTGGTCATCACAACTCTGGTCACCTACGAATCACAACTCTTTTTTTTTTTTTAATTTACAAGTCAGAGGTTAAAATCAAAACCAAAACAAGAAAAATTCTGATTGAGTACAGTGACACATATCTTTAATCCCAGCACTTGGGAGGCAAAGGCAGGTAGAACTCTAAGTCCAAGGCCAGATTGGTCTACATAGGAAAATTAACAAAAATCCCAAGTACCCCATCAGGCAGAGACACAGCATGACTATATCAAATTGGTACCCCCACCCTATCTTTTTAATCAAAGTATTCATCCAAACGAATGCTCCACATATTGCTATGAGCTTAGAGCCAATATCTCTCTCCCTCCCCTACCCTCTAGATATTTTTTTTACCTTAGTTGTATTACCATTAAGGGAGTGGTAAGTATCATAAAAGAGAGTGATAAGGGTAAAAATGTTTTCTCTCCACTCTTAAGGAATCAAACTGATCATCTACCCATCAGGATGACTGTAGGTGTAAACTCAAAGACCAAGCAAAGAAATTGATAAGTGCTCTGGATGAAAAGTTTGTAAGTTGTTTTCTGTGACAAGATTACACAAAGAGACACAACAGATTTATTCCTTTGAACCCAATAGAAGCACCAGTGTCCCTTGTAGACTGTGCAAAGGATGACTGAGGAAGCCACTTACAGGTGAAAGGAGCCTAGAGAGAAAGGGAGGGAAGGGGGAGGGAGAACATGCAAAGAACGGGGAGGAGAAGAAAGGACTATGGAGAGAAAAAGGAGGAGGGGGAATACAGTGGCCCAGAGTCCTCCTGGGAGACAGAAACATCCTGGAAAGACCAGATTTAAAGAGCATCCTCAACAAGAGAAGCACATCTCATGAGACTAGCCAACTAGTCCCGTGATCGTGATGGATTCCCCAGGACCAAACTGCAACACACAGTCCTCTGAGAACTGCAGTTTACAGTTGATTCAGGCAATTTAGTCCAGCTAAGTGTGAGCAACATTCCTTACTTGTCTGTTTTCTTCTCAGTCTCACAGTGTGCCTTATGATGCCATGATGGTTCAGGGCCATACAGTCATATTTCAGGGACAAATCCTTGTCTGTCACATCAGTTATTCTTAACACTGAGGTTAAACAATCCATGTCATTGCTGGAACTGAGAAGGCAGTGTGTTACTGATAATGTTTTCCTGGCAAGTGCCAGCCATGAGGAGGGAGCGGGGGATTTTCAATTCCAAGATAGAATTAGCTGGGCATGGTGATACAAGCCTCTAACCCCATCTTTCAAGAAGCAGAAGGATCTCTGTGAGTTTGAGGCTAGCCTGGTCTAAAGAGTAAGCTCCAGGCTAGCCAGAACTACATAGTAAAATCTTGTCTCAATAGATAAATAGATAGATAGATAGATAGATAGATAGATAGATAGATAGATAGATAGATAGAAGGATGGATGGATGGATGGATGGATGGATGGATGGATGGATGGATGGATGGATGGATGGATGGATGGATGGGAGGATTGGTGGGTGGATGGATGGATGGATGGATGGATGGATGGATGGATGGATGGATGGATAGATGGGTAGGTGGGTGGATGGATAGATAGATAGATAGATAGATAGATAGATAGATAGATAGATAGATAGACAGATTAAATACCTTTGATTTTGTTCTTTCTCCTCTTGAATTCTTTCTTCTCCAAAATTTTCAACATTCCTTTTATTAATCTGCCACAGGACATCAGTCAAGAACTGAGAGCCTTTACCGAAGCAAGCTGAGCAGGTGATGTTCACTGTTTTTCCTAGATGTGAAGTGAAGAGATTCACGAGGAAAATGAAATTCTGCAAGTGGCATCAGTTTCACCGAATGTAGTAACCTTCTGCAGTTCTGCACACTTCCCTTCCTCAACTCCTTCCGGTGCCTCCTTTCCTCCTTTGCTCTCTACCCACCCCTGCCCCCCCCCCCCCCCCCCCCCCCCCCCGCTAGCATCTCCATTTTTCTCATAGCCCCACCACCCTCTCACCTCAGGGAACACTAAGCTTGTTCTGCCTTCACAGCCTCACATCATCATGAAGGAGTTGCTGGTAGTTGAAATGTGAGTTTCTTTTTTTCCACTGGTCCCTTCCATGTCTTTCTCTTCCTATAGAATTCCCCTTGTCTCTCCATGAGCTGCCGTTGGAGATAAAACTGCTCTACCCAGCCCAACTATTATCCTGGATGTAAACATTCACAAAGAGTACTCTCCAGTGTTCCATCCCAAGCCCTTCAACTCAAGATGTTCTTTCGGAAGTGAAAACATCAGAGCTGATTTTGGCCACAGTTACACATTCAGCCCTCCCTCCCTGAACTACAGTACAGGTTCCCACCAGGAGCTTGTCTAAAATGACGCATATAATTGACATGAGGACCTGAAAGTCTCTGGAACAGCAAAACTAAGGAGAAAGGACTAGAGGCTACCACACTATAGATGGAAATGGTAGTAGCCAAGACTTGAGCTGAGGATACAGAGTCAAATGTTGTTCTTTGGCCAGGAAGAGGGTGGCAGGAAGGATTACAAACAAGAGGTTTTATATGATCTTACTCTCCAGAAATGAGGAATAACAGTGTGGGCATAATAAGAATGCAGAAACCATCGCTCATGAGAGAGTGATACACTGAGGCCAGGAGTGTGGTATTTATAGTTATAGGTTACAGATGTGCGATGAGAGAGGCATGACTCATCATGGTGTTTCAGGCACCAAGTGGCTGTCCTTGTATCCAGCTTCGGATGGAAACCAACGAGAGAAGAGACATAGAGACTCAGACATCTGTATTCTTATTCTTTTGCTGTCACTCATCTATGACCTATGGGGAGCCTTTGAGCATCTCTGAACCTAAGTTACACAAACGTAAGTGAGGACATCTGCCTGTTGGGTAGACGTGACCATAACAAGAGATGTTTAAGCATGAGCCATGAACTTCAGGACTCAATACAAATGCAGTGTTGCATTTTGCTATGACGGGGACAGGCGTTTCCATACTGCCACCTCACATGACCCTCAGGTTCCCTTCTGCTAATTACATGACCCTTCTTCCATAGGAAACCAGACCCCAAATCATAAGGAAATAATTTCCGGGTTAACAGGGAGTTATTTAAAATTTCTTACCCATTTCCACTTCTATTGTTTTGTTGTGTGGAGGAGCAGTAATTACTGGAAACACAGAAAAGCCTTTGTCTTAAAATTAAAAACAGAAATAGAATATAAGTATTATTAATACATTGATTGGTCATCAACACAAAGCTAGTCTTTTTCATATTTCTATTTCGTTTCACAGCATTGTGTCACCTGTTTTGAAAATAACCTTTGGCAATGCGCGCACACACGCAAATCAAACAAATAATTTAAGCAACACTTTTTCTGATTGCTATGATCCTTTTTGATGTCTTCTATATCATGAAGACAAATACTGGTCTAACCCACTAATTGTGTGACTTAACAATTATGTGTAAACCATGATTCTGTAGAATAGGCATGAACGTACAGAGAAGAGGAAGCCAATGGACTCGTGGAAGGGACACATTCATGAGCCCACAGGTCTGCTGCTCACCACCCTCCACCAGTGTTCATCCTCAGGAGGTCTCCTTCCTATGACCACTGAGGCTGAGACAGAGGGAAGCAGGAGTTCTCTTGGAGCATGGATGAATCCTTCATCCCTGGGTGCTCATTTATTTCTGGGTGCTGAGATTAAGAAACATTGCAGGAGCTGACATTAAACAATGAGAGACAAACACAACTGTGGTCTGATGACGCTTCTGCTCCCGCAATGGAGTACTGAAAAGGCTCTAAACAAAATGTTTTCTTTAGTGTTGCTTAGTCCTTTTCCTGTTCATTACCATTTGGATGGTGAGACCCTCATCTCCTCTGTAAAGGAAACTATGCCTAAAAGACCTCAATTCTGGAAATTCCCTGGGATGTGATTAGGAAATCCTCCCCTCAAGTGGCTTCTATAATACTGACAATATATTTGGGAACAGTTCTTTTGTAAACAAATGGCCTGCTTCGAAGATGCTGATGATATCAAAAGCATCGTAAACCATGACTGAAGTCCACTCAGCACCATGTATAAAGGTCACTGTGCCTGTTACGCTCAGGCCTCTGTCTGTGGCTTCTACATCCATGAACTCAACCAGCAATGCACAGACATCAGCCACTTCTTTGCTAAATGCTGTGCGAACCTTCCCCTTGTCATTAGTCCCTCCCAGGCAGTACACCTGTTTATGCAGCCTTACACGGGTTATTGCCAGCAATCTAGAGATGAGGTAGAGCTTAGGAGATGAGTAACTTCTGAGAAAATGTGTAAATTGGAGCATCCAGTATTTAGTTACATCCACATTCTGGAAATCAGTCCAAAAAAAAAAAAAAAAAAAAGGAAATTTAGACTGGGTTGCCCTTGAAAATCAATCTCCAAAAAAAAAAAATTAGCTATCCATGGCTTTGGTTCAATAATATCATATCTTTCCCTGGAGTTCTCGAATCTTTTGTGCAGCAGCAACTTCCTGTCACAGTAGAGTATGTGGACGGGAAACACAAAGGAGTGGAATATGGATAGTGGATAGGAAAGGCAACAGGAAGGAAATACTCAGCTCTTCCTTCTTGTATTTGTTTGAATCTTGAACCTGGTTGAAGCCAGGAGCTTACCTTCCACTGTGAATGATCTGGTTGCGGTCACAATGTAAGTGGTTCCATTCTCAGTGTGTGTGAATTTACACGTGTAATCTCCTTCATCATCTTGCCTCACGTTGTTAATGAACAAGTATGCTCCATGCGCCCTGTACCTTGGTCCTTGCAGAGCTCTGCAGTTCTGAAGCAACAACAAGAAAAACAGTCCATTCCTCTTCCCCTGACCTTTTCACTTTCAACTACATCGATTGTGCAAATTCTATATTTTTTTCCCCAAATTTCAAACTTTTACCTTAAACCATTGAACAGGTGCTGTCCTGGTATAGAGTTTAATCGTTGGACAAGTTATCTTGGAATTTTTTTCTGATCCAGCTACTGTTGAGTACATCAAATAATCAGGAATATTGCAGCCTGGTAGCTGTCTATGTATGGTGACATTCATGTATCCAGTCGTATTCAAGTTGGGACTATTGAAAGAAGGCAAGCATTTAGAAAGGGATACTTACTACTGTGAGATAGTTTCATCCAACCCTATCCCTTGCACAATCTTGCTCGGGCCAAAAATGATGTATACGGTTCTTCTCTTACTGAAAAATAATCATTAAAATCTCGAGCCTTCAAAGACTGCTTTTGTTACCCTTGAGAAGAAGCAAAGCTCTGGAAACAGCTTCACCAGGTCCTCATGCATCACACCTACTGTAATGCTAGGATCCTAAATCAAATATATGTTAGTGTTCTTGAGCCACATGCAGAGTTAAGCATGCTTCATGGATTTCATCACGTTATTCTCATAGCAAAGTTTTGGGGATCATACTGATACAACTGTATGAATTTTAGAGATGAGACCCTGAGAGACAGAGAAGTCACATGGTGGCACCACACACCAAACTGGGAGAAGGGTATGGATTGGAAACTAGTCTCCAAACCTAGGCATCAAACTATACCTAGGCTATTCTGACACCGTGTGAGTACCAAAGATGGTGTGAAATCTAAGCATGGGGCAATTACAGTTCAGACTGAGGGATTTACTTAGACCCTGGGTCTCTGCAGTCTACCTCTTTGTCTTGGGCTCTGGCATCTAAACCTTTTCACCCAACACAGATCTTTGTGATGCCAAATGTCCGGGCTTCCATTTGTTGTGCTAGTTTGTTCTTACTCCCAGACAACAGTTAGCGATTACTCCTTGTTCTTGGGTCACTAGAAAAGCCAGGCATTTTTCTAATTAGGATATATATATACATATATATATGCCCTGGCTGTGGTATATTCAATAGCTCATCTCCTGTCAAGCTGCTGGTCTTCTCTGGTGTACTTTCTTGTTCAAATCACTTTATAAATTTAACCATTCCACTGAGGGGCAGAGCAGAGAGAAAGCAAGGACAGCTGGGCTGTCAATCATTAATGAAAAGGGAGCAGACACAAAGCTGCTAATGGTTTCCTGCACAATACCTTCTGATAATGCAAGCATAAATCCCCGAGTCCTCCACTCTGGCTGGTAGGAACTTCAGACGATCTCTTGAGACAAAGATCCGATTTCTTTTTTGAGTAGGAATACTTTCATTTGTATTTAAGTAATACCATTCCACGGGATAAAGGGAGCCACTGCTTATGGGGCATCTCACAATTAAAGCCTCATTTTCCAGACCCCAGAATGGTTTACCTACAGATAAAGTATGAACATGATCCTGAAATGACCGTGTGAAAAGACCACAGTTCCTTTATCCAACTTGATGTTTCCATTCACGATTAGATTATTAAATAGATCATCTGTTGCGATGCTTTGAGAAATAATAAGTCAACAATTAAAAGCCTTTACTAAATGTGCTACATGGTACAATAAACTAAGGAATCAATTTCAGGTTATGTTCCCTTTTGTTCCAAGAAGAAAGCACCTATATGTACCCGAACACATTGTAAGTCAATAAATGCCCATAATGCTTCCCACAGGCAGGTACTGTGCTAAATCTTGATTTATGTAACTCAAATATTACGACCCACTCACCATAGGGAATTCCTTCTAAGAGATTTATGATAAAGACTGAATGAAGAGGAAATCACTTTGGAGCACACAATTCAGCCCCAAATGACCTAAAGCAAGCAACTGAAATGCAGCAAATGTGCCCAGAATTACTTAAGTTCAAAAATGCACAACTTCTCTGTGAATCAGTACTTACTGCTCTTTGTTTCTGTGAAATACATGGGAACTGTCAGAATCGCCAAAGCCCAAAGCCCCATTCTCTGTTTCTCAGTCGCGGGCTGGTGACTGATTGTGGAGGTCCCTTGGACGGGTCAGTGACACAGAATGGAAATGCTGTCTTCACGACGTGTTTGGTGAGGGCTGTCTGACTTAGGGTCCAGAAGAGAAGTCAACGTAGCTACTGAAAAGAAATCATATACACCCACAGTAAAATATTTATCTTGCCCTGTTTTTACTTACTTAAGACCATAAAGGAGAATCAATTAACAGATATTTGTTAAGTTCACTTATGCATATGAGTAGGTTTCAGGTATATGGTGTTACATTCATTCCTACTGAACTTGGAACAAGAGAAGGGCTCTCACGATGACTAGATTATTTCACAATTGTATCTTACCAGTCTCTTGAGCATTCCCAGAAAGAAGCTAAATTAAGAGGAAAGAAAACAAATTTTTACATTTGAAAAAAATCAGAACCATAAGATTGAGTAGATGCTAGAAAACACAGTGTTATGCAAAACCACAGGCAGGTAGCAGGCTGGAGGCAACATGCACATGTCTGTTGTTTTACACGTCAGTACACAGAGATAGCCATCACCAAAGAACGAAGAAAGGAAAACTTTGAACGAAAACTTCAGCCAAAAAGCCATCCAAGACTGTCCTCCAAAACTTTGAAAAACTTGTCACTGCCCCAGCTTGTTCTGGAGCCACAGAGGTTTGCTGGAGGTCTAAAAACAGCAATTCACCCCCTTGCTTTTGCTTTTGGACAAAAGAATCAATTAATGTAGCTTTTCTCTTCAGACACCAGGAGAGGGATACAGGTAGGAATAAATATGAGAATCTTCAGTAATTTCAAGAGAGTGCATTTCTTTGAATGGTAGATACTTTTTCTTTTACAGACTTCAGATAGTCATCAATCCTTACCCCAAATGAAGGGCTGGGAAGAGTAAGTTCAGGGCACTGAGACTACCTCCCAGCCCTTGGAGCTCTGCTGTCTCGTTTCTGTGGAGTACCCATGTGGACACACTCCCTCTTTCATTTTAAATACACCGACATCTTGTAATTTTCTACCCCACCCACCATGAAATTTGAATTACAGCCAAAATCCATGACTTGTCCAAAACTGCTGCTGTGTCACTCACTAAGAATTCTTAAACTTACCACATAAATATTTAACCATAAGGACGTTATAATCCATTTCGGGAGAACTGCTTAAATTACTTCCCCCTGTTTTAGCTAGCATGGTCGCTCCAGATGAGATAAACAATGCTGTCTCTTTCCTCGATGTCTCAACATTCAGTTCAAATGACACACGCACACCAGACTGTCCTTCAGATACTCCCTGACATGACCTCTGTCTGACACAGTCAGCTTTTGTGGTGTGGGCAATTTCACAAACCACCACAGGTGGTAGGTAGGGGAGGGCAGGGGTGGGAGGTAAGCCCTGAGATGAAGGAGGACTTCCTGCTTCATGGGTGCTTAGAAATGTTCTCAAAGAGCAGGGCAGTGGTGGCACATGCCTTTAATTCTAGCACTTGGGAGGCAGTGGCAGATAGATCTCTGTGAGCTTGAGGCTAGCCTGGTCTACAAAATAAGTTCCAGGACAGCCGGGGCTCTTACACACAGAGAAACTTTGTCTTGAACAAAGAACAAAAGAAAGAAAGAAAGAAAGAAAGGGAAGAAAGGAGGGAGGGAGGGAGGGAGGGAGGGAGGGAGGGAGGGAGGGAGGGAAGGGAAGGAGGAAGGGAAGGGAGGGAGGGAGGGAAGGAAGGAAGGAAGAAAAATGTTCTATAATGGAGAGAGTACCTCGGGCTCAGCTGAAAGCATGGTCTAGCACCTCAGATTTCAGTTCATGACTCTCAGCTGGAATATAAATAACCAAGCTTCAAGGTCATCACCTTTAGGGACTTCACATAAAACAAAAATTGCTGGTTGATTTTGATTTTTACTATGCATCATTGCCTTGGCTTTACTATGAGGCTTCCTTTGAAGTCCTCATACAAAGGAAAGATTAGAGGACCATCCCCAGACCAGCCCACCAATAGAAAAAGAATTCAAATCTTTATATGGAACCTCGCTTATGCCTTATGCAGCTCTCTGTGACTCTCCTGTATCATCAACTCCATTCCCCAAGGGCAGCCAATGCCACACTGTTGTTCTCAACACAGTTCAAGTGACGACGCTGAGGCACTGAGATCAAGTAAGGGGTCCAAACGACACAGTGTTAAGAGAACTAAAACCCAAGCAGGCTGGCTCCAAAGACTAGACCCAAATCGAACTGAGCTGGGTGCCGATCGTGGAGGTGCTGTTAGCTATGAGTCAGTCTTCTGTGGGTCATCATGGTGGCTGGAACTACCTGCCCCTGACCTCTCTTCTCTGCCCAGAGGCTTAGTCAGCTCTTAGGCACTGGTGACACACTCTGCAAGGCGGAGATCCAAGCCTTTTGCTGGCTGGGAGACTGACCTTGAACCTCATCTGCTCTTTGCTACACTTGATTCTTATTTTCAGGATTGCACCACGAGTCTGGGAAAATCCAAGACTGTATTATTTGGTACTGAAAGGACCAAGCAGACGCCATAACAGGCTGCTCAGTCTTCTCTCAGAGATCAAGCCTCAATTTCAGTTTCCTGAGATTTGAGGAAGCAGTTCCTGGGAGGGCCATGAACAAAAGACATAGTCCTTGCAGTAGCTCCCCTTCTGCACATACTCTGACCTCTCAAGGTGCAGCCAATTGTTTACTGTCTGGGACCCCTCACCAATTTAGAACTACGAGCATGGGTCAATGTGAAAGCCTGGGCCACTGAGTCAGCCCCCACAGTCTAGGCCAGTTAGCCTCCACAGCAGCTCAAGGATAAAGGCACATGTAAATGAGGAGGGTCTCCAATCAATAAATCAAACAGGATAGTTCAAGTAGCCAAGTTCATCAGAATCGGTCCAGCATCTGTCAACTTTTCTGGGGGAAAAAATGCCCACTTACGAAGTCTGCAAATTACCTTGCTTTCAAAATCAACCTAGTAAAAATCTAACATAATTATGCACTAATTCCCTTGATTTGGGGTTACAGTTTTGAAACCATATGTTTTGAAACTGTTTTCGATCTGCTTCCCTGACATTTCTGCTATGAAGCCAATTAAAACAAATCACTCTGATATTGCTGGGGGAGCAGTCAGTCCCTTCCATTTAAACTGTGACACGGGCACATTTTCTAATGAGATACTATGCAAAGCTTATTCATTTGACTTGACCAACAGAGCAGCCAAGTTTAAACTACAAATGTTGTAATCCCCCTGAGCCGGCTACATGTACCCTGATCTTATTGTAGATCCACTGTAGGAGCTGGGAACTTTTTTTTGTCGCGTTAAGCATTTCCATTTTTTTTTTCTTTTCCCAGTGAAACTATATGGAGCTGTCAGCAGCCAGCCACAGAGCCTACATCACCTGGACTGGCTTGGTCAGCTGCCATCACGGTCAGTATGCATTCTCTCCTGGATCCCTTGGTTCACCTTCTCCAGGGCCACTCAGTCTCTGGTGCTTCCTGCCATTCTTCTTTCTGCTGCAGCTGGCACTCTGCTTCAACAGCCAGAAGAACAAACTGGAGGAGTAAAGGCTTCCTGTCTGTAGAACCTAATACCCTATGTCTCCCAGGCTTGTCTCCTGCCCCTGTGAAAACTGGCTTCTCCCTGGCTTCTCCTATATCAGCAATGAGCACACCGTCATTGGCTCAGGCAAAATTGCTCATGCATGATCCACCTTTCCCCACATATCTGGTGGACAGTCAGCTCATGTGCATGAGTCATTCATTTCACCTGTGAAATCTAACCTACCTACACTGGTCCCCTACCTCCATTATCACCTTTCTCATGCGCAGCATCATCTTGCATTTTGGGTTTTGTTGATAGCTTTGTTGAGAGTTTTCTGGTGCCTCATCAGGCTATTCTGAATGCACAGACCCCAGAGAACCCCTAAGAACCTAAGTCAAATCATGCAGGCTCTCTGGTACCCTTCTACTTTAGCAAGAGGAAAAACCACTGTCCTACAGTGGCCATGTGGACTCATTGACAGGATGCTGTCACCTCTCTGGCCCTGTGTCTTTTGGCCCTTATTACTGTTCATTAAAGGTATAAGGCAGACCCTCTTGCCCCATTGCCCCTTCTCCCTGGACACCTCATTGCAGATACCCAGGGATTAACTCTTCTCCTCCAACCTGGGTCTAAGACAGACCTTACCAATAAGACTCAGCCTGACATCCTAATGTGATTTCGGTTGCTGTGATGGAACTCTCTGACTTGGGGGAAGGAACAGGTTTATTTGGTTCACAGGTTACAATCCATCATTGAGGGAAGCTCCAGAAAGAGCTCAAAGCAGAAACCTGAAAGTAGAAGCATTAGCAGAGTCTATAGAGGACTGCTGCTGACTGGCTTGTTTTTCCTGGCTTGCTCAGCTATTCTTATACAGTCCGGGCCCACCTGCCCCAGGAGAGCACTACCCACAGTGAGTAGGGGCCCTCCTGCATCAAATAACAATTAAAACATTCCAGGTGACTCTAGTTTGTATCAAGTCAAGAAAAACTAACCAGTATACCTCGAGACTCCATTTCTTCCCTTTTTTCTCTTTTCTCTTCTGTTCTTCCTTCATTTCCTTTGCTTCTAGTTTTATTGTGTATTTATTTAATCATTCATGTATGTATGTATGCATGCATGTTTGAGGAAGCATGAATGCCATGAAACACATGTGGCAGTCACAGAATCTCACCCAGAAGTCAGTTCTTGCATTCCAACATGTGCATTTTAGGGATCAAACTCAGGTTGTCAGGCATGGCAGCAAGAGCCTTTCCCTGCTGGGCCACCTCACCAACCCTTCTGGTAATTTTTTTTTTTTTTTGGTTTTTCGAAACAGGGTTTCTCTGTGTAGCTTTGTGCCTTTCCTGGAACTCACTTGGTAGTCCAGGCTGGCCTCAAACTCACAGAGATCCGCCTGGCTCCGCCTCCCGAGTGCTGGGATTAAAGGCATGCACCACCACCGCCTGGCTCCCTTCTGGCATTTTTAACCCTTCATTTTTTTCTTTTGTTGCTCCTGATTTTGAGGTGGATTCACATAACATGAAACGCAGTGCTTAAGATGCACTACCCCCGGGCACTGCCCTTACAGCGTTGTACAATCATCAACACTAACTCCAATGCCT